TGGGATCTGAGCATTGGTCACACGAACTATTACGCCAGACTCAGAAAAATTATTTGGGAGCGGCCTATGTTACGTCTTGTAAAATTACTTATACTGTTTGTTTCGGTGATAAGTGCTGTTGGCTTCTTCCCATCATTTTTATAAGACATAATAGCCAGACGTGCAAGATAAGTTTCATTATCGATAAACTTAGGTTACTTCTCCCTTACAGGTGGCCTTTAAGTAAAACGGTTTGACATAAATGCTGCTTATGTTAATTATCAAATATTTTGTCATGGTAATGTGTTTTCTTATTTAATTTAAACGGGCATATGTTGGTTCTTAAGCCGTGTTTTAGGACTTCATGTTCTGATAGAAGTGTAAATATTTAACATTAGTATTCATGCTTGTCATCCAGACCATTGGCGTATAATTTTGTGTGTATTATTGCCTCAGTCATCGTCTATTTTTTCCACTTCAACGCAATTTGCTGCGACACCAGAGGATAAAGGCAGTCATACAAAAAAAAAGGAACAAGCAGCAGCCTTAGGAATGATCACACTTTCTGGTAGGATGTGTGCCATTCCTATTTCACCTTATGTTAAAATGTTATTTAACTCAGACTACATACACCACTTACACCATTAGCGCTGGAAATTTTATAACTTACGTACAACGTATTAGACTTAGTTATACTCGGACTCCATCAGTTAAGTAGTTAAGTAGGCTTGTGTTATAACTTATTTATTTATACACGAAACTCATTCCATGAAGCACAGTGCTTCTTGGGATAATCAGGAAATCTCTTACCTTTTATGAAACCAAAAGTTTCGTTTATGTGTCATGAACCCAAAACTGCATCCTATTCTGAGCCACATGAATCAAACCCAGACACTCCCAGCCAATTTACAACATTTGTATACATAGGCCGAATTGTTTTAGAGTTACTAACCGCAAGTTATAGTTGATTACTTCGATTATTATAGAAGTGTGCTAAAACTTTGATAAAAATTAAGGTATAGGTGGTGTATTTTATATTTGGCTTGATGCGACGTTTCAGAATATTTTAACATAAATTTTTAAGGTGACGAAAATTGAAAACAAGTATGTATACAAATGATCCAAGTTAACTTGAAGTCGTAACACGCGGACGCATTCACTTGACTAATTGGGTTGTAGTGTTCAAGCATGGCAGGAATGAAATGCTTTTTTATAAATAAATTTAGTTTTGTTCGTGCGAATATAGCGTAGTCTGCTGTGACGGGGAAATCAGTTGAAGCTCAACAGGTCATGGGTGTAACTTTACACCGCCTCCAAAATTTACTATGCAGGATATTATGCCAACCAGTACTGCTATCTTGACTGACAGTTAAGGTAAACAAGGGTAGAAAGGTGTAGCTACTCCGATAAAGTGCATGTATTTCCTGATACTTTGAATACCTCATTGTCACTAATATTTTGCTACGTACGCAAATATTTAGTGACACATTTAAGATATGAGACTGCACAGAGCCAGAAATTATTTTTGCATGTCGTTAAATACGAGCCATATCAAAATAAGTTTCATATAACACTTGTAGATCGTAATGGCCCCTTGATGATGAGTGATTTTTAAGACATCGAAGATGTCTGCTGCGTAAAGTAAGTGTTATATCTACCGATAGGAACTAAAATTGAATTTGTCCTAGAGTATTGAATGTAGCCCCCAGTGCCTTATTTTATTTTTAAAATCGGTCAGTAGGTCCTGAGGTGAAATGTGCGGACTTACAAACAAGCCCTCCCGATTATGCATTTACTTCATATAGGCTAATCCGTGCAAAGGGCGCACGTAAAGTCACAGGGTAATTGAACGGAAATGAATTGTGTAATTTCATGTTGTACCATTCATATATGAGAGCTCTCAATACAGCGAATTTTAGTTTATTATTTATGTTCCAAATCACTACGCACATCGGACGTTTTACAGGTTGTAACATTGGTATCTGTGTGTTATCTAATTACATTCAAAATTCTGTGCGTCGAGTTTAATCCTACAGCGCAATATGTCTTCTTGTTTGCATCGTTTCTTGTAGAGCTGTTGGAAAGTGAGGTACATATTCGGATATTTTTGTGGAAAGTAATTTATAAGATTTTGTGTCTTGAAGGCTAATTAACACAAACGGCAGTCACAGTCTATTGATACTCTGTATGAAAATTATATTCTGAAGGTTGCGATCGTAATTGGTTTTATTCTATTGATTTATGAATCGCAAATTACAACATTCAGCTTCATATATTGCGTACATATTTATGTGGGACCATCCGTGGTAGTTCTAACGCCGTACACTTCTTGTAATCTTGAAATATCGGTTGCCGGTTATTATGATGGAGTTTTTGTCAGTTTTTCTTGCCGAAAACTGCATATTTCGCACCATTGAAGCAAGCCGTGTCTGTATTGAATCTAAATTTTTATATAATGAACCCTAACAGGTACTTTTTTGTAAATTCAGATATTGCGTGGAACATATTCCACGTGTGGGGTCCAGATCACAAGTGAGAAATTTCAGCTAAATATGTACGTACACTACACTGTTCGTGGTTTTTTGGTTTTCTTATTGTCTTTATTTTATTTTTCCCGTGTTCCATTGAAGTATTCTGAACACATTTAACGGATGGTCGGACGTATTTTATTCCCATTTGTAACAGGAATGATCCTGTCGAGAAGATTCCAGGAAACACAATTCGGAACAAAATTTCACAAATAGAAAATAAGTTCTAGCAGATCATGTTTAGCTAAATTAGTATGTATCCTTTATGGGCCCACATAAATAGGTTTCATTTTACAGATGAAATTTTGCATTGTTATTTACCCGTATAGAGCTCGTAATCAGATAAATGTTCCGGTAACAAACATCTTTACGTTTAATTCAGGTTCCCGTTCGGGCTAGTTTTGCTCTATGTATTTAGGGACTAACTGACCATTTTGTCGGCTATTATTTAATAACTCTACTTAATACAGAAAAAGTTGTTTAGCCACATGCCTGCGTTCCAGTGAAGTGCCCATCTCATCATAAATTATTCAAGTCATAAGGTTGGCGTTAGTGGTCTTAAACTTGCGCTTTGTGTAACTGTAAGTGCTCGCCAAATCGGTGAACTTCCTGCCTAGATACTTTCACGTACCTTCTGTATGCGAAGTTATTGTTCTCATATGTAGGATAGGAGCTCATTAGTACTGTTTTATGGTGGATCGTGAGCTAGTCCTTGTTCCTGAAACGGCATCTCTTTGATAATCGAATCGTAATTACATGGAGAAAATTTGAAAATTCACATAACGACATTCAAAGATACAAAACCATCAGAATAATATGCAGAACATTCTAGACGCTATCATTAATATTTTATGCATCGTGGTTACCTTTCATTCTGTATTTGTGCAGACCTGTATATGAGATTCCTGTTATTTGCTGTCATACTCTTAGTTCCAGTTGGATGTCGCTCACCTTAAGGGAAGGACACAAATTGAGGGTATTTGAGAATGGAGTGCTTAGGAATTTATGGGTGGTCCTAAGTGGAATGTAAGTGACTGCATTGCATAAAAAGTCTTAGTAACAAGTATAGCTTCCTTTTGTCCTTTAGGTGGTACACGGACAGGATTTTTAAGAATACTTTAGTATATAGTCTACTGTATGAAGCTCAAAAGCGAATATTTGTTAAGCATTAATTTAAAATTAACATGTTATTTTTTAAATCAGGGATGAAGGTCGCTAACGTTGGTAATGAAGGGGGTTTGAGGAGGCAACGCCAGTCTGAATATTAAATAAAATCTTGCAATATGATTAGAAAATGCGTTTTTGTGTTTTAAACATTTCTTTCCTCTTACCTGACTGATAATCAAATGGCGTGTCTGAGCCATATTTGTGTTGCCAAATAATAGTCGATTGATTCTATTCTTACCATGCTTGCATGAACGTTTATTGACCTACATCGAGCTAAGTGTATTAGTAGCGGGAATGCACTTACATCATTATAGGTTGAGATTAGTTCTTATAGTTTCATAATTCCATGATGAAACCTTGATATAGGCGGAACGTATAAATGAAACTTTCTATAAATCTGCTATTATGACGAAAGAACATCATTTTACATTCCATTAATGCCGTATAGTATAGGGTTAAATGTACAGTAATTAAACTTTAAAACACGTTCTTACCAAATAAGGAAATGGTGTGTGCAATTTTGTAAAGGTATTTTTCTCTTGAAACACTGATACAGTTCGTAAATAAGAATTATTAAAAGTAGTCAGGTTTAGTTTATGTGATTAGATCCAAACCAAATAACATCTACAGTTATGAGCGCTCTAAGTTCATAGTTTCAGACCAAGTGACATTATACCAATTTCCACGCGGAATTTGTTCTGTGTAAAACCACCAGACAATAGTGTCAGTGGCCTCTTTGCCGCGATAGACCTCCTCCTTTTCCAGCAACCTGTGCCCTTTCTGTCTCGAGGTTTGCGTGTGTGGCCTCTTGAGTGTTTATGTTTGGGCCTAGGCCCGAATGTAAAAATATGGAAGCATTACATTGTGAGTGATAACATGAAGCCGGAAGCAGCATTTCAAATCAAGCGTCATCTAATAACGCAATGTTTCAAAGTCGGTGGTTCGCGGGTAGCTGCCAACGCGCGGTTTAATTTGTACCGGTCCGCAAATTGTAGTTTTCACTACGTAAAATGTATTTTATTATAGGTGAGGAAATTATTACTTTATTTACAACCTTCCGCCATTTCCTATGTTTTCGTTTCTTCTTAGCGATTAAACTGTAAACACTTTTCCCCTTTCCCCTCTGAGGGTTGTAATCATTTGACGGGCCAATTAGTGAGGAAGATAGCGTGTTTTTTGGAGTAGGATGCTGCATAACGCAGAGGTGGTGATACGGAGCCATGTTACAAAACCGAGATTCTTGGAAGACGTAGGTAGGCATACATATCTTAATTTCATAGCATTTCGTATGCTTTCGTGCATAATTTTTAATTTAGCGGTGTCTTGTACGGTTGCTTATTACATCGTTTCTCCTAATACAACATAAAGATGCTCATTATTATACTGTAAATAAACGTTTATATACGCTGTCAGTAATTCGATTTGTAAACCACGGGCTGTCAGCCCGGCTAACATAGTCAATCTGTTGTAACTATTATCTGCATTGTATATATGTACAGTGAGAGCTTCGGTCCTCGGAAAATCCACTGTAGCGGTGTTTTTCAGGACAGTGACACCAACTGAATTTAGAATTAGGCCCATTCCAAATACAAGTCATACGCCTATTTTGTACTTAAGGGCCTCATATAAATTAACTCTAAATATAAAGCAGTCCTAAATACTGATTTCGATTTTTTTGGGGGGGGGTAGTGAGTCTTGTCCGTGGTTAGCAGCATTTCGGAGGATCACAATGTCTCCTTCAGGATATCAGTGAAGATAACCTCAGGTGTTACATAGCCCTAAATAGTTACTTCAAGAATCCATTTTGTACCATAAGACACAGTTTAGGACGCAGCCGTCACGGAGAACGCACTCTTATTGCTCCTGTTTGTGGTTTTACAAGCATATTATACTACATAGCGATCCGTACTGTATTTGTGACTGGTTAATTAGTGTATTACAGCAGTAAATTTTATCAGAGATAATTTCTTTCTTTGTCAGAGATCTTAGGATATTTGGCTATAGGTATTCGATCATCTGTAATGGTTTTTTCTTCGAGTTGTTATTAAACTTTTGCCTTGGCCTCCTTTCATTGTGTACAGTCTATTCAGACATATGGTAGGATCCTTTAGATGCGAGGCAAGTCCTTAAGGTCCCTACATGCCCAAAACAAAACAGACGCGGACGAACGTCTGTGTTCAGCGTTGGGTTCGAACCAATAGTTCTGTTGTTTTGACAGTCGAAGACCGTGCGGCCACAGTGATCCATTTATTTTTATTTGCATTGTATGACCCCGAAGAACATCGAGTCTGTTGACGTAATATTCCACAATGAAACGTTTTGAATTGCGGATGAAAGTACTTGTCCCATGTTTGGTGTGAAACTCGTCGTTGTTCGTATGTCATTCAAGAAAAAAACGTTTTTTTCCTTTAAAGGAAAACTTCGTTTCTTGTCGTCATCGCGTGAGTTGCAAGTACATTAGTAGGATATGACGGGACATTCCTGGAAAATAAGAATGTTTCAGGTTGAGATAAACTGTCCTCTTCGCTGACAAAAATGGAATGCACGTAACATTTATTTTAAGATGCTTAGGCCTATATTCTTGGGATAATTTGAGAGAAAAATAGTAGAAGACAAAAATAGAGGAAGTGAGAGTGAAAGGAAGAGGGACAAATTTCGAAAGTTTTTGGAAAATGAGGATAATGGATAAATATACCTACCCTTCAGCATGGATTGAAAAAATTGGTTTTGTTTACGCATGACATGTCTGCTGTCAAGCGGGTAACTGGGCGGTTGTAGAAAGCTGACCGATGCGGACTTTAAAGATGAGTTTATGCAGATCACTGAGTTATATGCGGATTTGCATAGACATGCCCTTGTTAAGGTACTCTCCCAGATTTTAACCTGGAGTGAATGAGGAAATGAAATATTTATTTCAGTTAAGATAGCAGTTCCATAATTAAATTATATCGACACATTTTGTTAAAGGCTCGAAATGCTGTTTTGCGTTAAAATCTGTTATTTTCTGGCAGTACGAGCATATGGTTAATATTGTAAGAGCTTACAATTTTTTGCGTAGCTGCAGATTAAAGTACTTTGTTGTGTATCGCGATGGATAACCGTGAGTATGTCTGCCAGTGTTGCAGTGGTATATGGTAGCTGAAGAATTGCGATTTCTTGAGTTTGTGCCAGAAACCTTTATCTTAGCCACTTTTAATGCCACCATGATCTCAGATACGAATTTCTGCTGCGTAATATTTTGGTTTAGTTCCAGTTTCTTTTCATATTAAAAAATAAATTGTTAAAAATTTATTAGGTACGTTACTATTTTCTTGTTTGTCTTGAATTACTTTGAATTAAAACCCCTGAAAACTCAATAACAAGGACTATATATAATTTACTATTCCACAATTAAGACGCAAAGCATCTTAATTACGGCAAGTTATCGCCTACCTTTGCAAACATCATCCTTATTATAAATAGCAGTTCAAAGGTAATAGACAGCGTTGTAGTGTACAAAGCACCGTTCCACGGTATAGCAGAAGAGTTGGAAATAATCTCTGTTTTTTCGAGTGCTGATTTTCGTTGGTCATAGACTTTAGAGATTCCAAATAGAAAGAAGCGTAAAACTGTATTAGGCATATCACTAAGGCCGTAGTTTGTATACTCTTTTGTAGAACTGCGTCTATAGACCCAAAATGGGCTCTAGTAATTAAGAAAGACAGGTTTAAAAACTTTCACTATTTATTGTATAGCAGTAACAGAGAATCGATTTAATTTTTCCAGTTCTTTTACCTTTTCCATTTTGTTATTTATTTAAGATAATTAAAATAAATCACGCTTTAGTGCAGTGGTGTAGAGAAAAAAATCCTTTTAATTCGCCAAGTTTAAATGTTTTTGTAAACATCATTTTCGAGGGTCGAAACTGTTCGGTTAGGTGATTGGAAGTCCTTTGACAGCACAAGCACTGGGCTAGTACATCTATTTAAAGATGAACTTCATTGAAACCTGTTGTTAATTTGGGAATTCAGTTACTTGCAGTGTTGTGACCGATTAACTATTTGTATCCTCTCCCTACACCATTCGCCAGCCAAGTATACTGAAGTGCAGACACAAATAAAAGTAAAGGTTTTCGCCTCAGAGTCTTAAGTAAAACGCATTATTTCCCCTCGATATGTGTCCCTCGTTACAAGTGAATCAACGCAACACTTTGAATAACGAAGCTGTTGTAAATAATGGTTAACATTTCAAATGTATTCGCACTAAGTACGCTGTCTTCTTTACGTCATGTCTGGTGGTTAAATGGTAACTAAGTATTCGGAAGACTATTAGAAAGTTGATCAGAAACTGAAAAAGGGACAATATTCAATGAAAATTGTCTGTTTTAAGTAGTTAAATATTTAATTTAATCCAAAACTTCAGCATTTAAAATTTTGGCGTTTGTTTTCAATTAAACACATGGTGCAGTAATTTCTGAACACCCAAGAAACTACAGGAGGTTTTTTAAACAAAATATGAAAATTTGTTGATAATGCTGATAGAGGCGGTGGTTAATACAAATGAGACGATGGAATGGAATTTATTTTTCAGGTAATGTCTGACGAGTGAGAGCATACATGTACACTGAAGTCTATGTGTAGACATAAGCTTTAGCTGTAACTTGGCTGATGTCGTGCCCTTTTCTGGCTTGCATACAGGAAATTATTACATGGGATTCCGGCCGACGCGGAGATGTCTCACAGGAAATAATTTTTATCCTCCATGCCCTTTCCCCCCTTCTGGTGGCATCATCTCTTCCAGCTATCCCAAGATCTGCGGCTGTAGTCTCGTTGCCACAGACTGATCATCCGATATTAAAATTGCGTAACTTTGTACACGCGCACTCACGCACAATCAATAAAGTCTGTGATGATTTCAGAGGCACCTGCGGTTTGCAAAAGTTTGTATGTGAATAAAAATGTTTTTAGACGCGTTCTTTGCAATTTTCCATGTCTTATTGGTCTTGCAGTACATTTATTGCAGATACAAATGTATTTGTTTAATGTAATAACATTACAAAGGGCGGAAATTATTAAGTTTGTCAATATTCACCATACCTAAAAGCGTTAAAAATAAAAGTTTCTTGACTGTATGCCTGCTTTATACCATATTACACCAAATTTTTGTTTGTTGGTCTGTGGTATTTTAGGGAGAACTGGTGAAATTTGATTCGACCTTCACTTAAATTAGAGATTATGTTGGACCAATATGGACCAAAATTAGATTCGCCTGATTACTTGTATTGTCGACTCCTCAGTAGAAAATTTAGTATGACACTGTTTAGTAGTTTTGACGACGAAAATACGACTTTCCTTTTTGAAACCATTTCTTGATTTCGCGCATTGAAAACTTATTAAAGAATAGAACGTAAATTATTTTCCTTGTAGTTAGTACACGTATGCTTCACTGGCCTATGCACCTGTAGGTAAAGGTTGAGACGGACTTTCCCTAAATTTCTCAGCACGTGTTATGCACTTGACTGTGGTCGGAGGCATTGTACCCTTGCATTAATTATTTACGTGTTCTTGAATAACCTCGGTCAGTCTAGTGAATATGAAAGTTAGGCATCCGTTGTCCGGAAAGTGTCTCATTAAGCTATATCTTCTTTCAGCAAAGTGGGACACCTCCCAGATGTTCCTGCAGAGCTTGTTGAGACATTATCCGGATGTTGATGGATGTGGGCGTGAAGGACCTGTGACTTAGTTCCTAAGGTATGCCTCAAAATAACGTATCAGTGTTTTTTGTATGAATTTACGTCACGCACAATTTGAAATTAGTGTAACAAGTAACAAAGGCTTTGTTGTTGGACAACGTGTTTCCAGTTCAGCTCTGCTAGAAGTATTACCACTTACTGAAAACCACTTGGTTTAATCCGTGTGCTTGTTATTCCTTTATTATTATTATTATTATTATTATTATTATTATTATTATTATTATGTTCGTTTATGGATTCTATAAAAATATTTTTCGATATAAAATAACCTAATTTCCCAAAATTTATGGAAATGTAGTTAGTTGATGGCTGTGTTGCATAACATGCAGATAGACTTGTTAAGTACCATTGATTAGGTTTCTGAAAAGTGGTAGACTTTAATTCTGTTTTGTATTTCTGCTCAGGATAGTGTAAAGTGGTGGGCTGTTGAACACGGTAATGAATCTCCTGTTTCCATAAAACGTACGGAATTTTTTGATCAGCTGAGCAAATATCAGTTTCTCAAGAATTTTGCTTTATGTATCTAGAATAGTTTTTAATGTGTATTGGCTGTGTCAAGAACATATTTGTGTCTGCAATAAATTAACATAAAAACAGTGAGGAATGCAACGTTGCAAAGAACGCATAAAGAAATCTGTGTGCTTTGCGTTTGATATGACAGCCATTACTTATAATGGAATTAGATTGACTTCCTTGAGAGTTGTATTAAACATGTCAATCTCCTTGTAGGCCTACGTAGGTTCAACATTTGCCCCGAATCCCGACATAAGCTGCGCAAAGTGGGGCCAAGCTAATAAGTGGAAGAGGTGTAAATAGGTCTTAATTATTGGAATTTATAGATCCTGGACCATCAGTAATATGATGATTTAATTACTAGAAACACGCATTCCATTACTTTTTTGGCTCCATGCCAGTTGGGGGGAGGGGTGTAACTGCAGCCCGTAAAACATATAATACTGCCCGCGGTGTTCGGATGTTGATGACATGACCTTTTATCGATTTTTACTTTACCATACGTAGTACAGAGAATGTTTTGTAACCGCGGAACAAAATATCGAGATTTCTTTTACGGAAGTGCTACTATTGGTGTCCCTAAGTTTACTTATTAGTTTCCTCTTTCTGCATCTGGGTACTGTCTCAAGATCCTGTTTAATGCTTGAGGACTTCAGAATTTAGTTGTTACGGTGATGAAGCACTACTCCATGAATATATCTGAGGAAATGGGGGGTAAATGTATGTGCATTATTGATCTTGGCAACAAATAGGTGAATGGTCAGCTTCACGCACCGGCCTCTTTAACCCTGGAAAAGGAGCCACTTGTAGACTTTGGATAGGAAAGTTGGTGGGTCCCAGAGCCAGAAAAATGTCTGTCTGTGCTGGGAATCTGTCCTTGGACGTCCAGTCACATGACTGAATATCCTAATTTATTTTAGTAATTATATTTCTATGTATTTTGTTGTATCTGTAAAATGTGTTCAGTCAGCAAGAATAATTGGCAGGTATATAATAATTTTTGAGTGTAGAGTTCTTTTTTGCGAAGCTTTTCTGCCCCTGATCACATCGAAATGGTGCCATCCGGTCCCCGGTTAAAATTATCCACCCCTGATTTATACCGGAAATCATACTTGATTGGCAGTGAATAGTAAGGCAGTTGTGATAGTTTTTCAAAGAAAATTTGAAAATACAGAGTAGTAAATTATTGCCCTTCCGTCAGTTTTCTTATTTCGTCCGATTTATACTACATTTGGTCTCGGGGGTTTGCACAAAAACATATGGAGTGCATTTAATTTTAGGAAGGATTCGATGTACCCCAAATTTTACGTGAGCATGTTGAACAAAAATTATGTAACCATTTCTTGTTCTGACCATGCGTAACATATACCCGCATTTCGAGCTGAAAATGTGTCACAATTGCAATAATTAATTTTCGTGATAAGTGTATAAATACGCAGTTCTTAAAATCTAAGACACCGATACATGACGCATTGAACACTAAAGGAACATACCAATGTGAACTAACCTGTCCACGGCAATGTTGGCGTTAAATGTATTTATTATCTTATTATTCCTCGATAGACACAGAGTTGTCTAGTTGACTTCCGTGGACCATCATCTTTGAATTCTGACTCGTATATGCGGTTCAGAAGCCGCGGCAACTTAGCAAGCACTGCCAGCTACTCTGAGGACTGTAGCAGACAGCCTTGCATGCGGTGCTAAGAATACAGCAGTGGGGGCTGTGTGAACCCATATTTGGCAATGCCCCCGCCCGCCCCATGTGCTGCTATGCTGTTGCTCTGCTCCGCCAAGGCTTCAAACTCATTCTTGGGGTTCTGTAGCTTCAATGTTCCTTTACTTTCTTTTCACTGCCCCAACTCATCTGGAGCTGTTGAAAAACTGTCTTCTCGACTACCGACATGTTCCGGAACGAGGTCGCCGGCCGTGTTAACTTCCTGGCATAGCCATATTTAGCGGTGGCTTGGAAATAAGTGACTTTGCAACCAAACTTATATGAAGGGGAAGGCTTACTGTTCAGTGACCAACATTTCTATCGTAAATGATTTATAAATATGCAAAATAAAATGTGATTTTCCAAACATCCGTCGGATGGCAATGCTGATCGTTAACTTAAAGTAGGCTGATGGGTGTGAATAGTTATAGGTCATACCATTTAACTTATGTCATGTATCATGTGTGGAGAAGAAATTTGATACGACTTGCTATAAGCACAAATATTATTTCTATGAATATTACCTGAACTGCACAAAGTGTATGCTCAACGGCGAGGTCATTCCTGTCTGTTCATCTCTCAATTGGCGTGTTTCATTACCGAAATAATTTAACGGATTCCGATTAAATTTTGTTGATGTCTGTGTGTGTCGGGGGAGAGGATGTCTACACTAAAATCACTAAAATGTTTACGGCATTCTTATTTTGGCCGTTTAGATTTACTGTTAAACCCGTCTTTACGTGAAGCTCGGTTTGATACTCAATGATATTTATCAAGCACTTCTCAACGTAAAAATTGATAGGTAGTACATAATATAAAACATAGACTTAATTAAATTGTTTTCGAACTTTGTTTTCTATTGCGTCACATATTTAACTAATTGAAAAGAACGATTATCTATGCTCGAATGACATGTAATATATCTTCTGTTGTCTGCGGCACAGATGCATCTGGAAACTGTTCCAGACCGTAAAGGGAGAATCGAAGAATACTGTACGAAACAATTTTAAACAGGCTTATAATTAGGTGTGTTTTTTTAGAAAATGTAAAAAGCTGTTTTTTTTTTGTTTTTTTTTTACATTTCTAATTACGGACATGGGAAAGAATTTTAATGCCCTACATCAGTTACTGTGTTAATGATCCAACTTTCTTAGCCTGTCTGCCATCTCCTAACAAACGAAGAATAATCTCAGTGAGCAATATATTGTGAATAAATTATAATGAAGGATGCGAAAAGTTGTGAGATTTGGTCCATAAATTGGTTTCTTTGTAATATTAATAGTTTCGCCATCAAGTCTGGCACGCGAGTCCCAGTCGAGCATTGCTATGGGCATTTACATCAACATCACCGAAACAGGTGCATGGATGGAAACATTCCTCTGGAGGATATAAACACAAAGACAGCCACGTCGCCAGCGCTGGGTGAAGATGAACCGTGGGGGGAGGGGGCAGTGGGTTTTGTTTTTGTTCCTTGTAGGTAGGTTAGAATGCTATCCCCTTAATTCCCGAAATCGACTGTTCCTTCCGCTCTCCTCCTGCCGTCCCTTTTTAAAGTTTATGACCGCCTTCTCTCTCTCTCTCGCTTCCTCGGTTATGTGTAAATGGTGGTTGCTCCCGTGTTCCTAGAGGGGTTTATTTCTGTCTTCATGTGCAGAGAAAGCATCATGGGTCGACGCCAGACATTCTCCTCTTGGCCGCGGCAGCTGGTGCTAATGCTGTTAGTTCCACCACTACCGTCTGCGTCCCCGCCACCGTCATTGCTCGGGATTGATGCTCCCACCGAGTCTATGATCTTAGTACAGCCCCGTCGTCGTCATCGGTATCACTTCTTGTTGTCGAAATTGTGTGCAAGAAACAAGGAGGAAGCGAATCTTTGTGAGAAGATATTGATTTGCTGAAATATTGAAAGAGTTTATTTTCAGTTCTAGTACTCTTCCTGGATTCACTTCTTATGCTTTTGTATGTTTCCAAGCCACGGAATATGCGCAGTGTTTAGCAATATATATAAAAGAACTTTTCTAGAATCGTGCGAAGTTTGAGAGCAAGTATTAACTAGTGGCAGTATGTTCGGAATTATTACTCTATGTGTTTCGCAAGTAGACTGCTAAGAGTTTTTTCTATTAAATTATATTTATTCTTTTAACGTGTGTTGAGTCGTGCAATATATATGAAATATAGTAGGCGTATGGTTATTTATGCATGACGTGGTTAATAACAACATGCCTGGATAGTTCAGTGCGTACTAATAATCAGTGATGAATTTGGTTTTGTCTACGTACAGATAATCAAGACAGTTTACCGGTAACTACGTCAAGAAATAAACTCTGAGTGATAACCAAAAAGCTCTTGTGGAGGTTAAAAATAAGACTTGTTTCCGCGGGTTTACATTAACTGGTAATTTTTATAGGCCGTGCACATATTCTAGGTGTGGGAATCAGGTTTACTGTTTTTACATAATTTGAAGTGAAAATAGGGTGAAGTGATATGTTTATAATGTTTGCAGAATGGGCAGACCGTGCTGCCCATGAGAATTGTCAGCCATGAGATGAACTCGCCTGAACAGCATCTTCACGACGCCGACTCGCCGTCGTCGCCATCTTTGGCGCCTGGTGCAGTTGCCGTGCCGTCACATTTACGGGTCGCACGCTGTGTGACACGTTATGCCTCGTGCACGGTAGACCCTCGTCCAGGTCGTGCTGTACATTATCCTGATTTGAATGCTTGTCTTGTTAACGAGGGTCGACCTGAACCCGTAGATTGCAACACAATTCATTTCGGTTACGCGATCCCTGTATCGGTTGTGCCGCTTCCTGAAGAACCAGAACTTGCAGAATTAGTTTTAGATCCCACCCCCGATTTGACTCCAGAGGCTGTTTCTTATCTCCTGAGACATCATCCACAGCTCAGGCAAGAATACGACAACAGTCAAGATTTGAACGGTGGTAGCGGAAATATCAAGATGGCAGCGACTGCTAAACACGAACACCTTAGAGGCAGAGATGGTGGAAAGTTCGTCGCTGAACCGGAAGAAGACATAGCTGCAATTGCAAAGCAAATATCGGACCACGCCGAAGCCATTTATCAGACATGGAAATCTCGAGGATTAGCACCAGCAGAGATCCTGACATGCCACAGCAATGCAACTGCAGCTGACAAATTCGGATCAGCATTAACTCCTCAACCTTCACAAACATTACCTCACCAATCAAAATCATCTCCAGTCAAGTCATCTCTGCAAACAAAATCATCTCCTGTGAAGACTCCGTCCAAGTCTTCTGCTGCCAAATCTCAACAGGCTTCATCCGTTACCGTCGACCTCCTCGCCTCTGCACCGACGTTGGACGCAAATAACCTTGAACAATTGGTGAATAACTTCGTCGTCGAGGACAAAGCGAGACTTGCAGCGGCAAGACAATTACAGAAATCATCACCCGCTAAATCTCTGCCTTCTTCAATTCAGTTCGCCCTCCAGAAGTTTGAGAAGCAAGTACCATCAGATGTACAACAACAGGTATCAAAATCACCAACATCGTCGACTTCATCATTATCCTCAAAGCCTGCAGGGCCACATCATGAAATCAAATCTCAACCTTTGCAAACGAAATCTCCCACTGTGGGCGCTTACACCTCCCATCTGACCAGGAGTCCTACTTCTTCTGCTCCATCCTCAGCGTCCCAGCAGATAACGCCAATCATTAAATCTTCCACACCTGTGCCTCATCATGGTTCATCCAAAATGGACACAATTGAAACTACTTTCCCGAAAGACCTGCCACAACAACAAAAACTATTAACAGCAGAAACTAGTTCAGAAAAAACAGCATTACCCACGCCGTCATCATCGGGTTTAACAACGTGGCCTCTAAAGAATAAATCCGTTACAACCAGTGGCGGTAACGACAGACGCAGTGCTGTTATTGGAGTGAACCCCGCTGGTTTCGACGTCTCTAGTAACAGGAAAGATGACACTACATCTTCCAGTGGGAAATTCGTAACTTTACCGTCCAACAAATCCAACGGTAACGCGAAAGACGCTGTTGCATATCTCGATGAAGTGGCACGAGAAGAAGAACGCCTTATAAATGCTTTAAAAACTGGAATTATTATTGCTGAAGATCCAACGAAGATGACAGCTCCTGGTAGTAAAATTTCCGAAAAGAAGATCAGTGGCGTTTTACACAAAAAATCGTCCACCAAAGACAATAAAGTTAGCTCGGTAGCAAAGAAAGCAAAGAAACAGCAGCCGGTGGAGACTGTTACACCGAAGTTTCCTGTAACGGCTTCAGTGGCTCAGACAAGAAAAAACTCCGAGGCATTAGGTGCGACAACTACTATTCCCTCGCCAACCCTGTCGACAGTGGCAGCTCCTCCTCAACCGCAGCCCTTCGTTTCTTCGCCTGTATCGAAATTGTCATCTTCGACGGATTTAGAGTCTCCAAAATCACAACAGGCCCAAGCGTTGCCGGCAGTTAACAGCAAAGATGAACTGGACAAGTCTTCACTTTCAAGTCTTTCAGTTGTGGACTATGCCAAAGTGCGTTATCGTGCTGCCCAGCAAAATCCTTTGACGCAGCAAAGACTAGAAGATGTGAAACAGTTCGAACAACAAAGAAGTATAACAGGAATTACAAGTGTCAGTGGTGTTGCGTCTGTAGACAGCAAACATTTGCATCATAATGAAGTGATTCCCGTGGCCCGAAATAGGTTCCAAGTTAGTCCGCGGCCAACCGGTTCGGATGGCCCCACGACTCCCACATCTCCTGAGAACTGGCGCCCTGACTGGCTTCCGGGAGGACGTGTTGGAGTAGACGATGAAGTTCCGCATGTAAAACGAAAGACCGGGACTCCATCAACAAACCTAGCCAGACCAGTTCGTCATCCTCCTGTAGATTCCCACCCTCCACACCAAGAGAATGCCATTCAACAACGATTCCGAACAACAGGAACCGGAAGTGTAACAAATCCAGTTCGCCCGTTCCTTACCAGAGGATCAGTAGCAGAACGCGTCCTCATATTCGAGAAGTGTCCAAGTGAACTGTTGCTGGAAAAAAGGAACCGAGGGGCTCCGGTCATCACCACCTGGAGATCTGGACACGATGTTCACGCCAAAGCACAGGTTACAAATTTTCAATATTATATGCATGAATACAAATGTATGCCAAGAATTGTGTTCGAACTTTCTCACCATTTGTTCTATTTTAGGATGCTTAATTGAATGACTTGTAATTCATTGTATTGTTATCCTCCCATCTAGACCTAGGTCTCAATTGATATCTTACGTTCAGTTTCCGACTAAAATATTGAATATATTTCTCGTGCTTGCTACTCGTTCCGCCCATATTGTCTTCCTTGGTTCTTACACGCCCTAATAATGCATATATAGTAAAACCTCTCTAAGTTGGACACTTGGGGTTCCACGAAAATGTGTCCAACTTACAGAGATGTCCAAGATAGGGGGAAAGAGAAAAATCAGATTGTGGTCTAATGACAATATAATCTGTTTACTTACATGCACTAACTACTACTGTAGGCTTACTTGAATTAAGAATTAATGACAATAGTATTAATAATAATCTTTTGAAGCCCATTCCCATGCGCATTACACCCCAGCCTCAATAACATTTTCTAAAGTTAATTCCACCAATTTTCGTTTCCCCATCACAAAAAGAAAAATTCCATTTCTGTTAACACAGTCAGAACTCAAATGCAAGCACAGAACTGATGGAGTTAAAGCTGTGTCTTCTGCAATACTGTAGTCCAATTAAGGGTTCAGCAAAAGAATAGTTAAACACTTGCAATGCATTCCAATGATGGCTTCAATGTCCATAAGATAATCCTCCAGAGAGGAGGCATTCATCAGTCAGAAATTCAAAATAACAAAATATGTAACTGAAAAAGTTTCCCTGAAAAGCATCGAAGTTAAGTGCACGAACCTGTCCAACTTACAACAAAAGGGGTGTCCAAGATATAGGGTATTGTAGACATGTAAAATTATAGGATATTCGCCGATTCCAATTAAAAGTTTCCAATATAAGGGGGTGTCCAGGATATAGGGGTGTCCAAGTTGAAGGGTTTTACTGTATTATATTTATTTGAACAGTTCAAATTGTGATGCCTCTCCTTGTGCATTTTGCATTTCATTCTCTTGTGATGCGCTATAACAAACAAAATCCCAGGATATGGGTGATGCCTGCCTACTTCCTGTGAATATGCCTCTTAATAATGAAAGTACGTTTCTAAATCTCACATAAACAGCGTCCTTCGCTGTTAATGTCATTGCACTCCCCGACATGTGTTTCGCAATTTCGAAAACTGACCTTCCTCTGTCGAGTTTCATAAACATGGGATCATGACTGAGTGTTTGCTCATCATGGACACCAAATGTGATGCACATGGTTTTAGAAATAACATTCTCCGTGTCTAATTTAGATACGTCTCTAAAAATAGCTCTGGAACTTAACAATTCAGAAACAAATGGAACAAGTTACTGTAAGCGCATGCATCTGAACGTTTTCAGCTTGATCGTCTACAAACGCGTCGTTTTACAAAACAAATCCAGTCCATATCAGAACTTGTTTCTCTAAGATGCATTTTGATACTAAGAAATTAAGAGCGGATTTTGGGAATGATTGCTGTCATCCGCTGTTGTTTTCCCAGCTGCTGTATGAAAATGTAAAGATTAATACGTACACAGACTCCACATGTTTTATTTTGTCTGTGTGGGTGTTGAACTTGGTCTCTGACTACGAAGAAAGAACATATATTGAAGGTATTTGAGAAGAGGGTGCTGATATCCGGTTGTGATATGTAATTTTCCGTAACTTGGCATCAAAATTTGACTTATTCTTTGAGTGGATGTACCTATCTGTTCTGTTACCACAGGTTTCTGTATTCTAAAAGACGACTTCCTGTCCAGTTTGTTGCTACTGTTAAGAAACGATTAAATTTACTTGGGATAAGAGTTCTCAACCCTAGGCCTACCAATGCGAAGTGTGTTCTCCGAGTACATTTCTCGTAATATTGTGTCACTGGTGTATGTTGAAAATATAATTGCCCGAAATCAGGTTGTCGATATGTCATTATCGCAACTGTTGAACACAATGAAAAACTTCAAATCAAGAACTTTTGCGTATTTCACTGATGAACACTTGGAGGGCTGCATGCGATTCGTAACAAAGTTAAATTTGAAATTGACAGATAATCAAAATCAGTGTCCAGTATCTCACTAATAACCGATTATGTTAAAATTACTGAGTAATATGTGAAACTGTTTGCTTTAGTAGGTCTCATTTAGCAGCAATTAGTTTGTAATCTTGTGACCCGCGAGTCGATAAGAACGACTGAATGTGGCCCCAGATCTGGAAACCGTTAAGAAATGGGTTATATCCCATAAACATCTGCATGTTAAGCTTACATTATCTAAATATACACATAACTTGTAGTATTGGTAGTCTGTGCAGTAGAAAAGTAGGTTTTGTGTCTTCTGCCGGAACTCTTTGTATATGTCGGAATGATCTGCTGTATCTGTTCATATAATTTCGTTGGAATTCTAATAACGAATGATCTATGCGGGAATGGAAGCCAGAATCACAGTGTAAATTTCTTGGTGGCCATGTATAGATGAAACAATTTCAGTTTAAATATTGCAATAATTATCGTATCGTAAAAGAAACGACATAAATTTATATTTATTTTGCGCTAAACGGGCTTAAACGTTTGATAAAATAAACAATATTTATATGTGTAAAATAAGTTTAAATAAATGTCTATAGCTTGGCGATAGGAATTTCGGATGAAAGTGAGCCGACAGAAAGTCGACATTCCTCTTCCCTATTGTCTTTGCCCCCCCCCCCTCTTAGGTGCATGTCGCTATAAGGAATTTCTAATAAGTTTCTATCTAAAGTTGACATTGTTATTGGGGAGATTATAATTTATTCCTTCTTTTTATGCTTATTATCTAACGTCCAATATGCTCATGAGGATGGCAAGCCAAGGTTAGATTTTCGTTTAACATAGCTAGTTCACCAAACAACGTGAAGATATTTCGGGATTTAACAGCGATGCGGATGATTTAGGTTATGTCACGTAGTGTAGAATAGAAAGGGATTTTATTACTCGTATCTTCAGGACGGATCAAAGCAGTATCCTCTTATTTGCCTGTAATGTAACGTGTTACAAATCGAGCATTACACAAGTGAAGACAGCGAACGGAGCCGCTCGATGCGAGCCGCTCACGCTCGCGGGCGCTCCATCGTGTTGTCGGTTTTTTCGCGAATCCCTTTGAGTGTTACATTACAAGTCAGTCAGTCAGTCAGTCAGTCAGTCGAGCGGCGTCGTAACGAGCATTCACGAGTTCTTTAGATAAGAGTAGCGTATTAAATGAAACAAAGATAACACAACCTCCACGTCCGACATATTGAATGAAATGAATGGAGCACACATGAGCACAGTCGAGCCGAGCGTTCAAAACGAGCATTCGATACGCCTCACCAGTTGTGGTGTAATGTAACATGCTCGCCGCGAATGTTACATTACAAGTAAATGTTACAAGTCAGTCGCCACCTTTAGACGCAGGTAATTAACAATGTGTAGTTTTCTTGTCAAGTTGAACATATTGACATATTTAATGTTACAGGCTTGTTAATCCTGTAAATGTCATTCTGGTTCCTGGTCCAGCCTTTGTTAATATTTGTAAAAGAAATGTTTCGATTAACATTTAAAAATTGTTAAGGTTTCAGTAGTGTTGATGTTTCTTGTAACCAAGGAATTTTTAAGAATATATTTTTTAAGCTAACGTTTCAAAGTTGATATACATATTATATGTTCACTGTATGTACTTCCTAGTTTGTTTCTTTGGATGTCTTAATCCAAGAGACTTCCGTATTTGGACAGTATCCAACTCTGTTGAATTCCCATGCGTTCTGATAACGCTTTATCAGTTTTCTTTGAGATTGACGACACATTTCAGCGTCTCTTTACTTCTATGGTATACCGCTTGTTTATGGGTTCTCAGTCCCAAAGAAAATTTATGGAAGTCGATTTGTTCCGAATGCTTCTTGACTTTACTAATTCAAAGGAACAAATTACGACGGATGTACCTTACCAACATAGGAATGTTGTAATGGAATATGGAATGTGCCTGCAGTGGTTCATCATTTAAAAGATTTATAATATTTTGCTCGGCTACGATGTTCATTGAGTTGTGGGGGGGGGGATCTCGAAATCTTATATATTTTAAGCGATTTATTGTCTTACAAAATTTTACTATCATACATTTGATTACGCAGTGTTACTCCGATGTAAAATGGTACTTTAGCCTTGTTTGAATAACTGACTAATAATTAAATATGTTTAGGTTTTAAAACATTGCTATCAAAACATGACATCACCGAATTTACATTAGCATCTGCGCATATTCACGTATAGTATGCATCACTCTAAGTTGTTGTTTTTTCATGCAGCCGTAGGAACATGTTCCTTTAAAAATTATTTACAGCAGACCGCTAGAAAAGAAAAGTGTAGCTCTTGGCACAGATCTTGTAAAAATTTCGCCACTACTCTTACATACCAAACCGCAGGACAAAGAGATATAATGCGCTCATTAAAAGAGCTTGGTGAACAGTGACGCGTTGATTGATATGATTTTCTTTTCAAAGTTAAACGCAGTTTATCTGTGTTTATTAAGACTGTACCGCCAACGGAAAGTGGGCGACTCGTGCAAATAGTTTTTTTTACGTCTTGTTTACTTGTGTTTCTTTTTTCTATTATATTTGTTTACTGCGCGTAATTATATTTGACGTACAAGGAATTCTCAAAGAATGCGAGGAATGTTGTAGTAGTGCAGCTGTAAAGCTTCTACTTGCAAGACACCACTGCATATCTTTCTACCCTCCTTCTTCTTCAGTACCATCCGTGCTTTGAAATAAGAGGTTCCTTAAAGTTACAGAAAGCGGTAGAACTCTTTTGATAGGCTATCACAATCTATCATTACCCCTACACCTTAACACGTCGACGAAGAGGACACAGACGAATATATAGGCCGTGTGCCCCAATCGAATTTCGAATCCGTTATTCTGTTCTTCGACGGCCCCAAAACTGTACGCAGTAGCGTTTCGGGCATACAAATAGGCCTATATTACACTTGCAAGTTCTCCAGCTTTGGTCTTGTGATTCAGTTCAGAAATTTCAGAGTTGATGTTTACCAAGTCACTATGTGAATAAACCTTTATTTCAAATCTTATTTAATAAAATGTAATACAGTAAAACCTTTAAATGGAATAGAAAGAGATAAGAATACGTTAAATTTAAAACAGATTCCTATTAACATAGGTTCTTATACGTAAAAAGTAGCCGACAGCACACACTTCCTTCATGAAACCGAAAGTTACAGTACATTGTCCTTTTGTGACGAGAATTATCCACTGGAATCAATTTTCAAAAAGAGTAGAATGAAACGAAGTATAGGAACAGATATTACTAACTAAAAAAAGTAGACTATTTTACATTTTAATTTAAAGTATTCGTTTATTACAAGTAATTTTAGAGTAGTTTTCGCTATACGCTTACAGGAACAGACAACATTTTCGATAAAGACGGGTTTTCTTTTAATCTGGAATGTTTGACCACACTGCTAGGATTCGTATTCTTTGCACGTTGGATCGCCGTGATTTTGAAAACCATCTGATTGCTACGCACGTTACATTTCAGAAGTACAAACTGCTTTTCCCCCCATATGCATAACTATGATGACATGGTGCGGCTTGCTGCTACAAACAACCTTGGAGATTAGACGTAAGGCGGGTCGTAGAGTACAGTCGTGTTCTAACAACGACCAACATGTAGCTTACGATGCGGAAAACATTGTGTGGTTCAAACATATATGTCCCGAGTTGTGCTCCTGGAAGACGCCGTATAAGGCGAAAACACGTATATCAAATTTTATATATTTATAAACTGATGTTAAAAATAAGGATTCATTCTTGGGAAAATATTTTTTGGTGGTTCACTAGATGACAGCATTTTTAATTAGAAATAGGATAACGTTACAGCAACGTAGGAAAAGCTCTGAAACATTACATAAATCATTAGTTTACCAGTGACTCCATCCTCTCTTGATCTAAAATCCCCACGCCACACTGGTAGTGCTCACTTTTATACCCAACAGTTGTGATATAATGATATGAACAGTGATGATGAATAATTGGAAGTCTGGAGGGGAAGAAAATAAATTTTTGTGCAGTTGGCACTAAGAAAAATGCGCTATATGATTCAAGCCACTACTGATTTTGATCTAAATTGCATCTCCTCTCAGAATTCTGTAAGGCAACGCTCCCCACAGGTTACGAACCAGGACTGTACACAAAATAACAAAGCATTTTTGATGAATAAAACTCATCATGGGTAGGAATGAACATGTGGTCTGCCTTGGGGGACTAACTGGGACTGGTTCCTGCTTTCAACGTTGGTTAAGATCTTGACGTGTTACTCAGACGTATAGTAAGTACCTGTAACGAGTAGAAAGTCTGTTCCTTTGTGTTGACTTTTTTGCCGAAAGCAACTTAGCTGAACACGGTGATGTATCTTCTACGTCTTTAATAGCAGCAACTTCACTGACCTGATGAACAGCCATCAAAGTGCTCAAGGAATACTTTATTCCACGAGGTCAATTACTCAGTTCCTCTCCACTAAGTGGGATTAAGAGAGCCAACACTTCCATAACGACAAAATTACGTCGGCAGCAGGAGCTGTAACAACAGCACCAGTATGTAGGAGGAAGGGTTACGGCTTTTATAATGTGGCACTGCCTGAGTCTGACGTTAACGTTGTCCGGAGAAGGCGTGGTGGTATAATGATAATGCAAGATATGATATGGGTGCGGAGACTAGAGCTATAGTCTGCGCTCGTAAGAACTAAGACCACGTGTCATCTATGCCGACACATCATCGTCTTCAGTGTTAAATAAAATAAATATGTACCTGTGTGACGTGTGTGTACGTGCGTATGTAGGCATGACGCGGTAGCAGTTGTCATGTGTGTTATAATTTTTCTGTGTGATAAATTTGTACTCGTCTTTTCTGACGGTGTTAAAACCATTTTAAGAAACTACATGTGAATAATCATTCGTATACGTCACGAGCACAATTATCATTGGAGCGTTCTTCATACGTTTGGATGTGAAGTGTTCTCATGCGTAAATAACAAGCTGTGTTAGGAGCAAAACCAAATCAGTCGGAATTGCAATTTTGGAGTAAATAGGTAGAGTGGGTAACTTGCCACTGAGATGTCACTGAATAAGGATTTGATCTGATGTGAGTTTGCTAAAAGGATTTGGGAAATGTCCTAGTTGGCAAGTTTAAAAATGCCCTGTAAGGAGAGTTTTATTCTATTGTTCCAAAGAATATGAAACATGGCAAATTTCAGAATCCCCCTCCTAATTATAATTTTCATTCTTAATAATTTATTTTTGCCTTTACGTAGAGACGCAAGTGATTAGATTTCTATGATGTTTATAATATTAGTTTTGATATTAATGTGCATGAATCGTATTCCAATTGTATAATTACAGTACTTAATTTCATAATCTACAAAATAGGTTGCAGTTCTATTGATGCAAGGAAATTTAATTATTTTTAGTTTGGTTCAACGACCTTGGAAGATTTTTAGTTTAAATACTACTAGTGTCTTGTTCGAGGCTTGTTTTGATTATACATATCTACTTATACACAAGAATTAATTACTCTGATAAATAATAAATTGTAAACTGCAGCTCTTAACAGTCTTTAGTAAATTAGTAACTAGCGTTTTCTAGCACCAGTAATTCAGATCGATACCTTGAAGCTTTACTTAATATAAACAATAATTTTAGTGCATGTGACAGTTGTTGCAAGCAGTGGTGATTTTCTTAATAAAAGAAGTTATGTCCATGATGTCGTAATAACCACGACCCGTTGCCCCCAAATTGCCGATTGGCCGTTCCCTTCTCAATTACTCTAATTGGCGGATAAAATTTGGTGGGATCTCGTAAAATCCTTCTGTTTGCTGACGTTATGCCGACATATCAGAACAACCAAAAACGGCTACGTTAACACAACAGAGGACTGGTAATATAATACAGGCCCAAAGAGTCACGCAAGGATGATGAACCTTATCTTCTCATAAGAAGTCTTGCGTGTATGAAGAATGCCTGTGATATATAGAGTTTATATATTCTTGGAATCGAAACGAAACATGAAATGATATTCAATAAAATTCCTTCTCTCAAAGGAGTGACGGTGTTTAGTGTGTGCTTATGCGTCTTAGTGACTGCTGCTTTTTGCCAGGTTCAAATCACGAGATTGGCCATCTGAGCAGTGTTTGTAGTTGTTTATTTGAGACGTAATGAAGTTCGAATTAGTTTACGACTAAATCTTCTCAAGCTGAATGACTTTCTCCATACGGCACTTTAAAACAAAATATACTCTGGATGCAGAGGTCAATTTCCCCTAGATAAAGTATGTATAACATAATCTAACGTGTGAATATTTCACATGAGAAGACACTTACATGCTGGAAGTCGCAAAAGAATGCAGGAAACAGCACATTTCCTGGATACTGCATGTAATGAATAGTGACAATATGTTGTGTGGTGGAACTTATAATGGTACATAATGTAAGACAGTGGTGCTATGCCTGTAAAGTGCTGGTGATCCAGAGGAATGAAATTGGAAGTGGTGGACCTCGATTTCCTTACCAGTCCCCACAGCACCGTTTACCACGTTCCTACAATAAGGTTAATAACAATGTTATTAATATTTAAGTTATGTATTTTTTATATATCCAATACACACACCGAATAGGAGCAGTGTAGTGGTTCATGGCAATTATTACCCTGTTGATGGAGGTAGCAAGCACCACTGAAACGTCGGTAAACTTATATACCAGACACGGTGCAATGGCCAGAAGACAGCCTTTTTCGCCGCTGTGAGCCGTGAGAACAAGAAATCTACCTGAGTATTTTAATGTTTTCCCACAACTTATAGGCGGACAATTGATAACATTCAAATTTACCAACCATGTCTAACCTGTCACTTGACACCATATGACGTATGAAATTGCATGAAGAATTAACACAAACAGCAAATCAATAAAGTGAGGTTAAATAACCAAACATTACTTTTGTTATTACTCAAGACCACAGCAGTTCCTGTTTTCGTAAAGTCCCAATGGTACTGACTTAATTTCAGTGTCCAAATAAATAATAATAGGATTCTGAGTGCCCCTGACTTGTTATGCTCATGCAAACTGGTTTCTGAGTTCCAGTGTGACTCTTGGAACTCAGAAACCATCTCCAATCACTGAAGAAACTCTGCACCGGATTGAGGAAAAGAGTGAATATGTGCATTGCTGAATGCAATATTTGCTTCATTTGAGTCCTTTGGATTGTAAAATTTAAGTGAAACATCACTGTTCTGAAGCAGTGATATGTGAAAGAAATCTTGCCATTTAAATGTGATTATCTATGGAAACTAAATGTATATGTTGCAGATATGCAGTAATAAGCATATTATTTATTGGCATTTATTGACTGCACCTGTTCTGTTGAATTAAATAAGTGCATTTCTCTTGTAGGGTCCGCAGTGGCTGCGCGGTGTGAGGCATGGGCCTTGTGTCGCTGGGACCGTGGGTTCGAATCCCACTCAAGCCATGGATGTTTTTCTGTGTTGTGCTGTCCTGTGTACAGGTAGAGGCCTTGCGACGGGCCGATCCCTCGTCCAAGGAGTCCTACCGAATGTCTATCAAGTGAAGCCAATGAAAAGTTGGGACCCGCAGTGCTCAGGCACTTGAAGAACGGGTCGTTCCCAGTATCCCAGTATTTCTCTTGTAATAGTTGTTTTGTCATTATTATATTTGGGTGTTCTGCAGACTTATTCATCTCGGGATAGCAGCAAGGATTCAAGCCTGAGAGCCAGTCATCTCCCACCAAACACTACACTCCAGCGACATGTTAAGGCAAACAGGAATGTACATATACCAAGGTATTATAATGTCCTCAAGTAAGGAAATTAACAAAGAACCAAAAATACTTTTCTCCAATTCTATATCCAGTACTCAAAATCCTTTTCAGCTAATTTATCTTGACAACTTTGACAATAGTTTTTGCACTAGAATTTAAATTTTACAAAGATTATAAATGCTGTCATATGTCCATTGGTATAAAAGTGTAGACACATTAACATGTTTGTCATGACAGTGATCTTGAAACTGCTTTGGAAATAGACAATAATTTGTGATATGTGTGTGTATGTATTTTGAGTTAAAAAATGGTTTACAGTATAAATTCTGTTTAACATTAGCATTAAGCCAAAAAGTGTGATTTTGTTTGTGATTTGGTATATGAAAACAAACTAGAAATTTTTCTAATTCTTCGACAACATAATATTCCTCTTAATAACCGTCATAGTTATCTTTTAAAGCATCATTTATAGACATTTAATGATAGCAGAATTTAGAAACATTTTTATATGATGATTTCTGGTTCTGATGGTGGTTCATTGCTAATCCATGATGATACCCTGCATCATGGACAAAATAAATTGCTTTCTGGTGCCAGAAATTATGGCAAAGATACTTGGCAGTAGTTCTGATGGTAGGGCACATCAACGCCTTTCCACAGTGCACATCACTCTGACTATTGCCACATTTTCTAGTCATTGCAGTGCAGCCACCATTTATGCCCACTGAAATGTTTGAAAGTATGTGACTTCAGCTATACATTAATATTTGCCTTGTTTTCAGCAGAACTTGAGACATTTGACACCTTCCTATTTTCATTCTATTAATATTATGCTGGGCATTGGCCATTGTCTTGGGTATATGTGGTATGCATTGTGTTTTATGGGTTGGCTGTGAGCCAATTTTCAGGTGATTGGTTGTCATTATACTGACAGATTTGTTTTATAGCTTTATTTTTTCTCACGTTAATAATGATCTTTGGGATCAAACCTAAGGCCTTTTGAATTCTAAGCTAGTACACTATTCAGTAGACCAATGATTATTTTTAGGCGTCATGCTCTAGTATGAGGGAGGAACACCTTATGGGGCTGTCAGTGTTTGTCAAGGTTCTTGTGTTGGAGCAAGCAACATACATGATCTGGGGCATTGTTGCACAAAAGTGGAAACCCTTTATTAATAATACAATACAATCACCATAAATTTTGCCATCACTTACATGAAATAAACGGTATTTTTAAAAATTGGGAGAAAATATGATGTTTACTGAAGTATGGACCCAAATGATTTATTTCTGTAAAGGAAAGGATTTAAAATGTAATAAGGTCTGCAAGTTCAATTATGGTATGCTTTATATATGTAAATGTAAATATACTTTTCTCTTTTACTTAAGACTGGTTGCTTCTGTTTCAGATTTTACTACCCTCAGGGTAAACCCACCAATGAGCATTTTGGAGATGCTATTCTGCAGAAAATATCTTCAGTCTTCCAGCAATTTCCAAACCAGCAAGTGCCTCGTGAGAAGTTTGACACAGTTACCAAGGTATGTATTTCTGTTTCTGTTAATTTTCTTCAAAATCACAGTTTTCATGCAACTAAGTTATGTATTTATTTCTTTCTCTATAGGCTTGTCAGTGCTCCTTGTACTGGAAGATTCCATTATTTATTGCAGCTGGAGGGGATAAACTTGGTTATGTGGAAGCAAATACTTTCACTGATTTCTGGAAGAAGTAAGTGGAATTATAATATACAGGCAGGTGAGGTAGAATTAATATATTTAATTTTGTGATGTCAGTTTTTGAGAGAACTGTTTCCAGATAACTTAACTTGTAATTTTGTATTTTTCTTCCATTTTTCCATAAATGCTAGGATTCTGAAAGTTATGGTTATGTCTACCAAGTTTCCGCAAATCCAAATTAACAAATTGATGTATTTTGATAGCTGTAATACATGGATAATTGTTAAATTTTTACTGTAAAAGTTATTGGACAACAAAAGCAGTGATTCTATGTTAATAAGTTGTGCTAATTTCAGACATTTATTTTGGAGTGTTTCAATTATCATTTGTTTGCTTGTAATGGCTAGATTCTTTGTTTAGCATGTCATATGGACTGTCTGGTGAGAATGTAGAGGATTGTTACCTCTCATCATCATACTTCCTATAATAGCCACCTAAAATACAATCTGTAACATAAGCTCACTTCAAACACCTCCTGTGACTATGTAATTATTCATTTTTGCATATGTTCTGCCACTCTGAATCTACTCCAGATTGGATTTTATAAATATTCAGAATTATCTGTATTTCTTGTCTGCAAGTCTTTAAACATGACCAGAAACAAGGTATGCCATTATCTTGGGCCCATTGTGATAATTCTGCTTCCTGGCATTGTTCATTATAGATATACTGTTCATAATATGCAAAATTGTTGTTCTGTTTAGAATGATTTCAGAATGCCATGACAAGACATCAAGGTTTGTCTACATAATGACAAGAGGTACGCAAGAATTCTTGGTTCCTGAGGACTTCATACCCTTGGTCCAAGATGTAGTAGATACACATCCAGGTCTTACATTTCTCAAAGAAGCCACAGAATTCCACTCCCGATATGTACATACAGTAAGTACTGTACACCTCAGGAACATATTGATTTTAAAGGCCTGTATTTCTCTTGTTTTTATGCACAGTGTGTCTTTGTAGGAAGTTTTTGAGTTTCTTTAAAATGATCTATGTGACAGTTATTATGGCAGCTTTTTTGTAACTTAGGCTGGGGCCACATGACCGTACAAAGTATGTCCGTTGTAACACACATCGTGACGTCCGTCATAGAATTATGATTTGTAAGTACAGACAATTAAAAATCTGTGGCGTAACAGCTCCAGAGAGCCAAATCCGACTAGCTTGACTGCTGGCCTCACGTTCACATGCCTAAGCAGAGGTGAACGATCATCCAAGCACATACAGAGTGACGTGTGGTCAGCACGACGAACCCCCAGCCATTGATAGCTTTCCTGACCGGATTACGCTACTCATTGTAGCTCCCCAATTTCCTCACGATGCTGGGTTGGCACCGGTCCCATACACTGGTTGAAAGCTCATGAGAAAATTTCTTCTTCCCTGAGATTCGAACCAGCGCGCATTCCATATCACCAGTCCGAAGCATGATGCCTCAGACCACGCGGCTACGGCGCGGGACAAGTACAGACAATACTTTTTTTTTCTTCTAAATCCTTTCAAACTGCCACGGTAATTGGCGCTCGTGTGGTGTCCTCACCTACGTCCGTACAAAAGTATGTCTGTTGCAACGGACGTACTTTGTATGGTCGTGTGGCCCCAGCCTTAGATAAATTTCTGCCCTCACTTTCTCTGCCATCAGTTTCTTTCAACACAATGGCACTGCTGCACACACACACACACACACACATGCACATGCCTCCCATGGCACTGATGTGCAATATTTTAGTGAAAGCATAATTTATAGTATTCCTCTTCATTAAGGGTATAACTTACTGTTTATCAAATTGTACTTTAGCTGATATTAATATTTTCTCTTATCAGTCTCTTCAATACAATGTAATAATGTTAAACAAATAAGGTATTTGTAAATTTTATTCTTTAAATGTACCCAGTTTAAATGGATGGGTTTCTGGTAGCCATGTGACATTGTAATAATCATGATATCATTGTTGGAAGAAATGCAGACCACAGACTCTGTCCAGAAGACCAGATTGTGGCAGCTGTCCACTATACTTGCCACATTCTTGCCAGCAAACAATTGGTGGCACTTTTATTACTTTCAAGGTAAACATAATTAGGCTGGTATTTATCCTGCAGTAAAAAGTACATATTCACCATCAGTACAGAAGTATAAACATTACATTATTACTTGTGATCAGCAGACCATCACTTCTTTTGCAGGTGATTGCTCGCATCTACTACTGTGTGAACAGGTCATGGAGTGGGCGCATCACATTGCCAGAACTCAGGAGGTCAAACCTCTTGAACGTTATACAACTCCTTGAGGAGGAGGAAGACATCAACCAAGTGACTGCATACTTCAGCTATGAGCATTTCTATGTCATCTACTGCAAGTTCTGGGAGTTGGACCGTGACCATGATCTCTACATTGATAAGCAGGACCTCACAAGACACAGTGACCATGGTGAGTGCTTGCTGTTAGTGTTAATGATGAAGGTATATTTATATAAGCATTATGATTATTTTTAGAACAGAAATTTGTATGTGTACATTTTCAGCAATAAGATATTTATCTTAGACGTTAACATACAGAACCTGGCACAAATTTTCATGAAATAGATCTTTGGTCTTTTATTTCTCTTTCTTCACTCTTATGTCTGATTGTTTCTGATCAACAAGAGATGTGTATATTCTGATTTACAGCACTTTCATCACGCATGATAGATCGAATATTCTCAGGAGCAGTGACACGTGGGAATCGACAGCAGTTACACGAGGACAAGATGAGTTACACTGAATTTGTGTGGTTTCTTTTGTCTGAGGAAGATAAAACACATCCAACAGCTATTGAGTACTGGTTCAGGTAAATTTATTCTGTTTAATGTATTGTCTACAAATTCTTTCCCTTTCATTAGCTGCAACGCATGTCTGAGTGTCCTGTGACATGACATATTTATATCTTTCTATACATTTAACAATAGCCACACAAATTTTTATATTAGCAATGAGATCTTTTTTCATCCTTTTGTAATATAACCAGACTGTCCTGCTGTTTCTTTGTTAAATTTTTGTCTTGATATTTTTAGTACAGTTCTGTATTTTATACATATTCCACTATTAATGAATAGCCATTTTTAATCTTGTCTTTTCTCTGTAAGTTATTTTTTTGTGAAATTTTATATTTCTCTTTCATTTTCATCTTGTCATAAGTGCATCACAGCTTATGTGTGATCCACCTGATCAAGCATTGCACTAGCCTACCACTAAACCATTCATTAATCATGTAGCTAAAGTCTGATCTCCAGCACTGAAATATGTGGTTTAAATCCCCTATTCCTGTATGGTAAAGGTTAATCAACTGCCACGGTGGTCTAGCAGTTAGAACGCTGGCCTTGTATTGCTGAGGACCCGGGTTCAATTCCTGGTGGTGCCCGAATTTATAACTTGTGTTGAGCAAGGCCGTGGTCTAGGCAACACGGAGTTTTCCTCCGGGGCTTCCCAACAATTACTCCATACACACGGAAGAAGGCAATGGCAAACCACTTCTGTATCACCTGCCTAAAAACATATGAACAGGTCCCAGTCTGAGAAAAGGATGGAAGGATCCTGTTCATAACATGTCACCAACCTCCTGTAAAGGAGATGGCGTAATAAAGAAGAAGAATAAAAGTTAATCATAGTGCCTATTACAAAAGAATATAAAATCAAGTGAAAGACTTAGCATATATATATATATATATATATATATATATATATATATATAGAGAGAGAGAGAGAGAGAGAGAGAGAGAGAATAGTGTGAACATACTTTATACAATCATGAATGTTGATAGTAATACATGAGTTTGTGTCATGAACTGTTTTAGCATGCCACCATGTGGAAAAAAATGCAAAATACTGGCCTGAATAATTGAGAGTATACTATAGTTTAAGAATGTAACTAACTCATGACAGTCTGAAATTTTCAGTCTTAAGGTAGTCCTTCTTAAATGGAGACTGGGAAGTTTAGATTGCTGTAATAATGCACAAATATGAAAATTCAGTGTTTTTTAATAAATGCCTATCAAAAAGTGATTCTGTTTCAAATAATTATTGTTTGTACAGATGCATGGATCTGGATGGTGATGGTTACCTCTCCATGTATGAACTAGAATATTTCTATGAAGAACAGCTTCAGAGGATGGAAGCCATTGGCATAGAGACTTTACCCTTTGAGGACTGTCTCTGTCAGGTAATGTTATCACCAATAAAATGTTGCCTATTAATAAATTTTATATAATAAAGCGTAACATATGTTGGTCATATGTCACAGCTTATGCGTGATCCAGCTGGCCATGTATTGCAGTAGCACAATGCTAATCATTAAACCCAGATTTTAAGTCTGGCTGGCAGCTCCGTAGTATTGGGATTTAAATTTTATATTCCCATATGGTAAAGCTTAAGCAAGTTACTGAAGTGTATCTGCATACTTCGGTTATGCCGTGACACAGAAAGATGTCGTGATAGCAAGCTCGAACAGATATGGCGGAAGATAAAATATTTTATTCCTTTCAGAATTTCAGGATATTAGATGTAATGTTCTTACCTTTGGATTGCTATGTTCTGTGTGGAGATTTCTTGTGTGGTGTATCCATTATCTTGTTATTTGCTAAGTGCAATGATATTACTAATGAAATAATGAGTGATAGATATCCTTGTAGCTCAACTGTACCATAAATATTAGAATTTTATTTTCAGTGTCATTTGGGCTGTTTCCCCTCTGCTTTACTATTTTTATAATGGGATCTTTCTTATATGTACATATATTGACCTTGTTTGTCATTCGTTAGTATTTGCATAGCTTTTAAAATGTGTTGTTTCTGAACTCTGAGAAATGACCTGATGTGACTATGGTATGTCAAAACATATCATCATAAAGTGATATTATAAAATTAAATTGTGTAGATGGAATATATATTAAATTCAGTGACATGAAACATAATCAGAATGCATCAATATAATATCAGAATGTTTATTTCATTAAAACTCTTGAATTTTATTGTTTTGTAGTTATTGTCACATACATTTATGAAGGGTATTCAGTTTATGTTTATTAAAATTTTTACTTTTAACTCTTATTTCTTTTCCTCACCTATGTTAGATGCTGGATATGCTCCATCCGACAGAAGCAGGAAAAATTTCTCTTGGAGATTTAAAACACTGTAAAATGACACCCATCTTCTTTGATACATTCTTTAACCTGGAAAAATATCTCGACCATGAGCAGCGCGATCCATTTGCTTCTCAGCGAGACCATGATACAGACGGTCATGAGGTTGGTATAATAATGAATATATCTCCTAAGCATAGATAATGTGTGATCAGTTTCCCCTTTGATGCTCAATTGCACAGTAATGATTAGTATCTGTATTTTTTAAAAAAAATTTATAATTATGGATAGGGCAAACTTAAATAGAAAAAATAAATAAGTAATGATTGATTATACATTGATTTTTTGAGACACCATGATTTTAAAAAGGTTCATTAACATCGGGCCTAAGTATAAGTGATAAGTGGAACTGAAAACATTCCAGGTAAATCACATAGTAATCAGTGAAGAATAAATTTTTACATTTGGTATTTAAAAACTGTGAATTTGGAGTTAAACTTTTCAGTTTTCACTAAACCTTTGAAAATGCATGTTCATTGTGAATCCCAAACAATATATACTTGAGATCTTGAATTTACTGGTGCATTATTTCATGAAACAACTATAGTAATTAGGATTTTTCTATTAGATTCAGTGATGAATATAATGTTCATGTTCAGTACTGTAATTTTCTATTTCACTAAACCATTTTTATGCTGAGTTTAATTTATAAGTCAAATGCTATAATTTTTGCCATGATACCATAAAATTCACTTTATCAGGAAGTCACACATTTTTGGCTTGGATTATGTAAAGATGGTAGGAGAGTTTGTTTTCAGTTATAAACTCAAATTTCAAGACAACATTGTTTGCTGACATTACATCCATTCTATAGCATGGAAATTGTTAAAGACAATGTTCAGTTTTGTTACTAATTAATATTACTTATAACAAGGTAGAAGAAATATGCTTTGGCTAAAACCATATTTTAAAGATCTAATGCTAATCTATATTCTTGTTCTAAGACTGGTTTTATAATTGTCAAAATGCAATAACAGATGATACTTTGCTAGACTTCTTGTAAAACTTTCATAACATTCATGGTAAATGGGAAGTATATCAATTTTTTTAGAGCATGTTCCACAGTGATTATTAGACCGGTAATAACTTATGGGGCAGAATCTTGGAAACTCACATCTCAAGTAGAAATCAAGTTAATGTGCTTTGAAGGGAAAATTCTATGGAAAATCTTTGGCCCACTAAAGCATAATGATGGATCATATAGAATTAGCTATAATGCAGAGTTAGAAGAATTGATCCATCATGAGCACATTGTGAGATATATTAAATCGCAACAGTTAAGATGGGCGGGACATGTGGTCAGAATGGGATAGGATAGACTGCCACATTTGGTATTAAACCAGAAACTGTGGGGAACAAGACCCAAAGAAAGACCAAGGGGAAGGTGGATTGATGTGGTAGAGGAAGATATGAGAAAGATGAAAGTGTGCAACTGGAAGAAGGTAGCTCAAGATAGGAGGAGATGGGGACATATTGTTCGGGATGCCAGAGCCCACCAAGGGCTGTAGTGCAAGAGAAGAAGAAGAGAAGTTCCACAGTGATGCCCTAGGAACAGTCATGTAATGATGTTCTTCTTGGTTGTAATGTTATGTAGACTCATAGGTAGAAACCAGTATTTTGGAGAAACATGCTGTTTCCACCCTCAGGGCTGAAGTGGTGGTGCTGGGAAGTGGAGATGTAATATAGATTTAGAAAGGCTTTACTACTGTGAGAACCTCAAATCTCACAACAGTGTTGTAATCATGGTATCTTAATTTCTCTGTTGTTATTCCAGATGTTACGTTACTGGGTTATTGTAAACTGCAAAATGTGTCTTTCTTCTTTAGAGGCAAATTCAGAATTGTTTTAGGCATTATTTAGTAATGCATGAAAATGCTTTTGTACCTTTATAAACTAAGAATATGGTTTGCTTCCAAATGTTTATAAGATATAGAGGTACTGACATTCTTTATTTCATGTTTGCAGATGTCAGATTGGGATCGATATGCAGCTGAAGAATATGAACTTCTAGTAGCTGAGGAAGGAGTGAATGAAAATCAAGATGAAGTGTAAGTTTTATTTGAATTTTTCTTGTAATTGCTTACCTAATTTGTAGTCAAAGAAACTGCTAACATTCTTTAAGAGATTACTGTTAAAGGTTATATCAGTTTTGGGTGGCTAAACTAATAATTATCAGTAAAACAGTTATTTTATTCAGTCAGATCAACAGCACATAACTAAATCACTCATTCTATGAACCAGAGTCCTTGAAAAGCTAAATTATTACTCAGCTAGTTAAGAAATTTCCCACTTTGTATGGAACCCGAAGGTCCATTACTATTTTTACAAGAACACACCAGTTTCCTCTCCTGAGCCAGCTGAATACATTCCATAGTTACGTACTCAGTCTGTAAGATTCATTTTAATATTATGCTCTTATTTATGTTTCTGAAAATTATTTATTTGTGTATAATCTTGCCCCACCTATTTTATCCTCCTTAATTTTATAAAATATGGTTGTAATTAGTGAAGAGTACAAATTATGAAACTCATTATCATGCAGTAATGAGGAATAAGGTGCATGCATATCAGAGGAGTTTATGAGGCTGTTTCCTGGCAGAGGCATTTCAAGTGCATAGCAATAACAGTAAATAGTATTTGAGGGCTCTGGTGCACTGCTTTCTTGCCTTACAGTGATGACTGCCTTTTATTGGTCTGGAGGGCTTCTGGCTGGATCTGAAGGGATCTTAAATCTCTTCCTTAGTAAATGAGTTATACAGTGTATAAGCATCTACTACTTAGACTCTGGCCACATGACCGTACAAAGTACGTCCGTTGCAACGGACATACTTTTATACGGCCGTAGGTGAGGACACCACACGAGCACAGTGTGATGCGTCAGTTGCCTCAATGGAGCCGGAAGAAGCCCTTGCGTTCTGTGGTCTTGCCCCTTCATAATTCTATGACGGACGTCATGATGTTCGTTACAACGGACGTACTTTGTACGGTCGTGTGGCCCCAGCCTTAGCCGTAATCAGTCACTTTGTTACATTGTGACTGTAGCTCTTAAACTCAGCAAACATTGGTATTACGTTAATAATAATTGCAGGTATGAAATATGTAAGACAGATGACAGCCAAAAGAAATGTGGGGAAACTTAAAATTACAAATTTAAACTGATTAAGAAATTGTAAATAAATGTTCTTATTTACATTAGGATGAGATGAAAATAATAAATGTGTTTTTTTGTGGTTGATTGACAGCATTCTGAAAGATTGTTTATTATCTTGACTGGGTGTGATATCTATTATCCTTATTATTATTACTACTGTTGTTGGTGTTTACAGGGTGTTGGATGATGAAATGTAGCCATCATACTGGCACTTTAGTAAGTAAAAGCATACTCTTGTCCCTGCAGTTTGAATGCGTCCGGTTTTGCTGCTTACTGAGAATCTTGTGCTTTGTTTATTTTGTTGCACTGGTCTAGAAATCCATGACAGAGAGTAAAGTTGTAAGTTACAGAAACATCTAATGTATTTGAAATATTTAAAGATGCAGTGTAATGCACTGACCATAAAATACTTATATTCTGAACAGTAACTATCAACCCTATAAGAGAAAGGTGACAACCATTACTATCATTTAACACATTCCTAAAATTGGGTTATATGAATATCAAGAATTTTAAAAAAAATGTTACTCATTGCTATGAATATTTAATTAATTTTCCTCTTTCATAATGAAATATAGAGGGTTGTTTGTTGTCACCTCTTTGAGTGATCACTTTTTTAAACCTTGGTAATGTTTTTGTTCCCCAGAGCAAACCCTACTCTTCACTAAAAATTAACAAAATTGGTGAAACTTATAAAATATAATTTTGCTGTAATGGGATGCTGGAGCTACCAGAGCACTTTAGAGTGGTATTTAATGAACTGAAGATTAGGTGATGATGGTGGCAAACTTATGATTGTGGTAAAATAAGTTTTATAACTTCTTTCCATAATGGAGCTGATCAGTTTATGCTTTACATTTTAAAACTTTTCTTATTCTGTTAGATTTAAGGTTATGGTTGACAGTCTTATCATAGTGAAAAGTATTATTTTTGGAGATTACATAGCAAATGGCTCCACCCAGAGTAAATGCAGTTTTCTATGTTGTGTGACAAATTTTTGCTATGAGGAATATAGGTCCCTCAATTCTGAAGATTTGTGATGATGGTGTGTCTTTGAAGCAAACTAGTTTCTTGACATTGTCCATCGTCTCAAATTTAATAAAAACAATAAAACACGACATTTTGGAGATTGGAGTCTATCTCCGTCTTCAGGTAAAACCTACTCTGTTGGGACCAATTGATAGAGCTAGTCCCTATCTCCAGACCTAGTCACTGTTCTTTCACGCCAGAGTTATGAATTTTCTTTTTACTCTCTCTGGTGGATTTCAAGTTACAGTTTCCTTTTTCAAGTTTTATTTTCAGTTTTATGTAAATTTTCTTTCTCTAACATTTCAGTTTGAATGTCTGTACATAAGACAAACATTTCCAATTTTTCTCTTTCATTTAGTATAGTTCTGTATGTTGTATTATGATGGCTGCAATATTATCATTGCTTTTGTGCATTGTTTTCCACATGTTTCAGTTTATACTTAAATTGTCATTACATCAATATCTGAGTTGAAACCTTATTTTGTGGTTGATTTAATAATTGACAAGTAGGCCAGGAATGTTCACTACTTGTAGAACACTGTCTTGGTATGTATGTACTATGTAGATTTGAGATTTGATTGTCATTCAAAATTACATTTTATTATTTATACAAATTTCATTCCATGTAACTTGGTCTAATCAAACTGTAGTTTAGTTATGAGTCATAAACACTGAAATTGGATTGACTCCATGAAGTTATGCAAAATATTTTAATTAAATGGTATGTTCCTCCGGTTGTGATCCAAGTATGGATCACACAGGCTCTGAATACATTGTTTAAATGTTCAGTCTGAAAGCCAGTAGGTCATGTTTGTAGTGTATTTAGGGTCTCAGCAAAAGAGTTTGGGAACTGCTGCTGCGTTTGTGTGTATTGTAAGAATATGTTAACTCCACTTTGAGAGCTATGTATTCAGCAGAGGCTTGGGAGAGCACTTTGCTGATTGTCTTCTGAGGCTGGGAGAATCAGAAGCACTGAAACAGGGGGCTGCCAACATTTTATTAGTGTTGGCAACTGGGATAAGCTTAAAATTTGTAGCAGCCACAGTATTATTCTACCCCAAAACATGAATGAAAAACAGATGGATTTGCACCTTTTGTTCTCAGATCAGGATATTTTTCAAGCACTGTTTTGACACATTCTATCACTCATACTTAAGGAGTATATAATAAATAAATTTCTTAGAAAAGGTCGAAATTATTGACACCTGAACCCTTCAATAAAATGTGACATCTGATTGCAATGTAAATGTATAGAATCCCTTGGCAATGGATAGAAATTTAGTTCACAGAGCAGAAATTACCAAATGCTTTACAGTCATCAGTGACTAATTTATAAATTGTTATGAATATTTTCCAAATTATCATGGGCAACATGAAACCATACCAAGGGCACTAAGGTATGTGTGATCTATGCACTGAAACATTATTTCATTCCCAAATCACATAATGGTTTCTGATGATTATTAGTATGGGCATTGTGTGCTGGAAGTTGTCAGATGTATTTATTTAACTCTGGTCCACTATGATATCTGTTCTACAAGAATATCAAAGCAAACTTTATCTGTTTCCTAAAAGTGGCTTTTGTCGTACCAAAATTTGTGTATGGCATAAACTCTTAAGTACAGCTTATTAATATTTTTGGTGTGATGTATATTAATGGAAAACAAGGACAAATAATGTATGCATTCAAACAGTGTAATATCTTTAATGTATATTAGCTTTAACACCAAATTAATAAGCAAAAAATTAATGTTCAAGCCAGTGAGGTATGCATAGTTAAATATAATTGATACTACAAAATGGATATGATTAAATTATGTCTGCTTTTTGGCTATTGCTGATATATGCAGCATAATGAAATGTGACAGGTTGATTTATATGGTTGATAAGAAATCTAAGGGTGGCCACACACGCTACGGCTTGCCGGAACTCCTGTCTTTCAAGTTAAAGTCAGAAGGTAAGCCTCAAACCTCTGAGAGTTCTCACACATACAGACTTTGTGGCAGGTTTGTGCTCAGTCTTTTTATTCTTCACTCGTTGCTACAACATGTTCAGTGAAGACAATGCAATTTCAATCGATCTTGCTGTTACTTTAATGTTGAAAAATAAAAGAAAGCTGAAACGTTCTAAGTGGGTCAGAAGTTGGTTAGATGGATCAAAACATTCTCACATAAATTTGTTGAATGAAATTCGATTAGAGCCGACGGACTGGCATAACTACCTGCGAATGGATGAGGACACATATTTGGAACTGTTAAACTTAGTTTAACTTAGTTAAACTATGAGGATTTGAAGTTCTCAGTGGCTGGTTGAAATGACTAAATGCTACAAGCCTTGCCTTTACCCTCGTCTCTGCCCTCACACATTACGACTTGTAAACATCCACTAAACCTCGAGGCAAAAAATCAAGCGACTGCAGATTTATCGGAGGCTCGGTTTCCAGCCAAACCTTCCGGCAAAATTCACCACACACGCTCCGGTTTGCCAGAAGGTTTGCCTTCAGAGACGTAAGCCGTAGCGTGTGTGGCCACCCTAATAGTAGCTTTATGTCTACAAATGAGACAAGATATTGTATTGGTCACACTTACAGATTCATACAGTAGGTATGTAGTTTTCTGGTTTTAAATCTTTGTATGTTTGCATTTGGGTATAAATGTTTTAGTTCAAACAATAACTAGACTTTGAGGAAAGAGCTCTTTATGATTCATTATAGGGAAATCATCCAAACGTGTTTTTGTAATAACTGATGTCATGTCCATGATTGTATAATTTGGAGATATCTCATGAACAGAAGTTACACGTGTAGACATGAATGTCTTGGACACAGTAACAAAAATAATATCAAAGAGCTGAATGTAATGTTAAAACAATGTGTTTGGTTGCCTCCTAAGAACCATTTACACTCATGGGACATTGTGAAAGTACTGTTGAATTGTGAAGATTAACCCGATAGATAGATTCAGTTTGTAACTAACTATAACTAACTCCATATAGCAGTTTCCTTCATGAAAAGGTTATATAGTTGCTCTCCTAGTCAAATGTGTTATGGAACTTGAATGTTCATTACCATGTTCACAAGTGCCTGCCACTGGTTCATATTCTCAACCAGATAAATCCAGTCTACACCCTCCCACCTTATTTCTTTAAGGTCCATGGCAAGATACCAATGAAGTATAGCAATTACCTTTTCTTTCAGCATTAACCAATATCACTCAAAATTACACTTGAAGATCAGGGTTCTGAATTGATATCTGTACCACAGTGAACAGTTCAAAAATTAAAACTGGTTCTGAATTGGAATTTATATAAAGTTTTCAAATGTTATAAAAAGAATATCCCTTCATGACACTGCCATGTGTATATGTAAATAAAAATATTTTCCTACCTTCATTACACTTTAAACGTTTATTTTTGCCACTTTCTTGATAATTTATAATCTGACTGGCATTGCTACATACTACAGTTTTATCTACTGATTACACCAAATAATGGTTGAAATGTTAGCCAGCAGTAGTATGTTTCTGTTGTTTCAAATTTATCATGTTGACTTTCATCTTGTTTCAGCCTCCTTGATGATGATAATGAAGGTGAAGATGTCCTATCACCAAACCTTGACCACCTTGTGGTCAATCATGTAAAAAGTAATGATGGACGAAGAACAGATTTGATGTTCAGAGGTTCTGGCAGTGTCAGTAATGGTAGAGAATGGAAAAAACCGAGCTTCACAGTTACAGACTTTGATATGGACGATGACGACTATGCAGCTGACAGTGATGATTGCTCCGTCTGATCTATATACAACTTCCTATGATGGAAACTGCACTCTGATCATCAGTTTCACAATTTTTTTATCACCTTTAGGGGTTTTATTAATGCCTGTAGCTCTTTAAAACTTACCAGCTATAATGTGTTGTACTTGGGCGTGTTTACTGCTGTGTATCACTTGCAAAACCATAATGCTTCAATGGACAATCAGAATATCTGAAATTCAAGATAATTCACTGCTTCAGTCACATAAATTGCAAGTGATGTGAAGAACATACAATTTTGCAGTTTCAGTGATATGTGAACATTCACAATTTTCCAAGTGCACTTGTACTCTTCAAGAAGCCTGAAATATCTTCAAATGTGTGTGTCTGTATTACAGACTCATATTTTTGCTATTTGTGAATTGTCACAAGTTGGAAGTAGAGGTGTAAAGTAGTGACATCAGTGGAGTTATTTAAATTTAACAAGATTTTTACCTTATACCATGCAGATGTTTACATCTGAGAGTTTTCTTCCATTCATGCAGAATTTGTGTTCATTTCTCAGGAATACAACTTAGAGTTGTTGATTGCACTGCATCCAAATCTTAAACGTTAAAAAGCTTCCTACATTAGAAATAAAAGAATTAAAAATTACCCTATCAAGAAGACAAACCACCATTTGTGAAGACTGCAACTACAAATGTTTTGTAGAATGTTTTGCAAGTGTTTTGAAAACTGTTTTTTAAATGTAATATTTTTAATTATAACGGTGTGTATATATTGGATAACAGTAGTGATAAACACATAGTAGTTGATTGTTAAAGTCTAATATTACAAAGAAATGTAAGGGAGTTTTTTGATATTTTAAATTTGAATATTGGTTGTTTTGAGAGCTGGGGTAGCTCAGTCAGTATAGTGACTGGCTACAGACAGGACAACTGGGGTTAGATCCCCAACAAGGGCAGAGAATTTTTTCTATGAGCTATGAGGCCACCCAGTCTCCTCTCTAATGGGTACCAGGGTTCTTTTCTGGGGGTAAAGTGTGGCCAGGGCGTGATGCTGACCACTCACCCCTATCTAGTGATGAGGTTAAGAATGAATAGGAGCTAAACTTCCTATACCCCCCAAGTGCCTACATGGCATATAGTGGGACAGATTTACTTTACTTTACTTTATTAGTTATTTTGGTTGGAGTGAATACTTTCCACCATTTAATGTGAAATATTTAATAAAGTCCTAGTAAGCATTTCTACTGGCAGTGGGGCAGAAGTAATAGTGGACTTAGGTTAGAAGTTACCATTATTAAAGTCTCATTGTGGTAAATATGTTAAATATTGAAATGACAACAGAGGGTTCCTGAAATGAAATTTGAAAATAATAAAAGAAGATTGTTAATTTATTCATTGAAACAGAAATACTGTAATTTGATGTTATACTATTACAAACCGAAATATAATTCTTGGCGATGCATTAATTAAGAAGTAAGGTGTCTGTACAGTTTATGTTAATTCAGTACATAAATTATATACTTTTTTAATAGGAAAAGAAAACCAAGTCATGATATGTAACATTGAAAGAGCTTAGGAATAAAGAAAGATCTTAAGAAAGAAGGAGTATCATCTAAGACACACAAGTTCCAAAGTTTCTAGGGTCAAACTAAATACATTTTTGTAGCTTCAGTTGTATCTCAAAAGAATTTCTTTGCCTCATAAGAAGTTTGCCATGGACTGGTTTGTCATATGAAATAACTAATTACTAAGGCTTATTGTTCAACTGCAGAGTTCTATGCTTTCTTTCTTCCATGTCTGTCAGTAAGAATGTTGATCAAGTATGAGTTGTTTAATTCTAGATGTATTCTACGAATGAATTGCATGTTAAGGTCTTTGTTGTTTTGAATGTGTTACATCAGATCTCTGTTTGTTTTGTATGTTAGTACTAAATACTGATTATATATATTCAGAAAGTGCCATTGGATACATTAATCATATCCACATTTTACTGTGTATAAGAAACAAACTGATGGTTATGTAGGCTCATTGTACAATTTCTTTCTTTCTAATACGTGACTGAGTTACAAGTACACACACAAAATTCATTTATACATGTATGTGCAAGTAATGATGATGTTAGTATAACTAAGTTAACATGATATATTACTGGGTGTGAATAGATATGTTTGTGGAAGAAGAAAATTAATCATAGTCCAAGAACTGCTTTACATCACTCCAATTTGAGATTGTATCTAAGAATCATTGACAAGGTACAGTACTGCAGTTCTAAGTCTTCTTCTTCTTCTTCTATGGCTCTCCGGTCCGTATTCAGTCCATGGCCTCCTCAATCCTCCTCTTCCATTCGGTCCTATTGTTAGGTCCATTCTGTCCGAGGCTTTGATTGAGGTTTTGAAACATCTTCCTTTTTACGGTGCAAGGTTGTTAGCCTTGTGACCAATCCCCAACCTGGAGGACCAGGGTACCTGTCTTAGTCTGACCTCTCCCCCTCGACCAATCTGGCTAGGGAGGCCCTACCAGTAGCTATGCTACTGCCAGCATAGCTCTTGGGGTCACTGAGGTACTCAAGCCCTGCCACCACGACAAGGTGCAGGTACCATTAGGGAGGGCAGTTCTAAGTCAGTGTGTTATATTATAAACTGTTACATTATGATCAAGCCTGTATTTTGTAGACTGTAGTACAAAGAGTGCAGGGTTGATTTCAGGCTGCCAAAGCAAACAAGATTGTTAAGAAGTTTGGTAGCTCTCTAGGAATGTGACTGAATTTTTATAAAAATTGTTATTATTCAAGTATTATTAACATAATGAAAGGTTTTGAAAAGTTGTAGAAAATATAAATAAAGTCATTGTATATAAAATTTACTACGTGCGACTGTAGTACTGAGAACATACCAAACAATTCCTTGTCTGAGTGTATGTGTGTTAATATGTGCACATACATTACATTTGTTTTATATTTCTTTATTACAGACACTTGGCAGTAAGGTATATGAATAATCTTCAAGGTAAAACATTACATATTGTCATGTACTCAGTAACAGAATCACTATTGTTCTAGTCCAGCTGTGTGCAAATTAACTGTAAGAGTGGTGTGCATTGTTACAAGCTGTTCAACATTAAATCCAAAGAGGACATTTTTACTTGTTAATAATTTAATATAGCTGAACTGTAACTTTTTCTTCTCTTTTGACAGTTCTAAAGTAATTTTATTGCACTTATTTGAGGGTGAATTAATTATCTTTCATTGTTATCACTTTGTTTTTTACATGTAAATACAGTATACCACTATGTTATATGTGTCAAAAATCTTTGTAATATTGAAAAGCATTAGTAACCACCATAAGTGAATAATACAGAAACATGTTATATAAATTGTCGTAAACAGTATCCTCATGATGTTATGTATTTTGTTGATAATATTTTATACAGCATAGGGAATACATTTAGTGTAATTATGTTTTTACTTTATTAGATGTTTGCATTTGATGTTTGTTATAATCTATATACTGGTGCTGCAAATAGTTTTTAAAGTATTAGATGAAATATAATAATTAAACTACACAGACATATGATAGTCATTTGGCCTATTAAAGTGAAGGCAGATTAATAAAAAATGCTGTACAATTAGAGACAAATGGACTCTTTTGCTGGTGTTAATTTTTTTCTCTATTTTTAGAGGAGTTTATAGATGTGTGTAGGCACAGTGCTCTAAGGAAAAACTAAACAATTCTCTATATTCAAGTTTATGGATATGTTAAAATATACCAAGCATTTTTAAATTGTACTAATCTCACTGCTTCAAAAAAGTAATATGAAAATAATAATACAATGATGTTAAGAGTATTAAAGTTGAGAAAGTTGGAAATGTGCATTGTATTTTAATTATTTATACATAAAACAGATCTAGAATTTTATGCACCTGTGCCATGAAGTGGTAGCTTTGATAGAACATACAGCTCAGACTCAGTATTGCTAATGCACTTATGTTTGCCCACAGTTTCAAACAAGAAATATGTTCCAGCAGAAATATATGTCTTAAATTGTGTGTTGCCAGTTTCATTTACATGGGAACTAGAGCAATTAGCATAGTTTGATCATATTTGTGCTGTCAGTTATGGTTAATTAAAAGTATGTATATTATAATCCTTTTGTAGTGTTTCTACTCTGGATATATAACATTTTAAACTGTTTTTAAATGTCTTTATTGACCTGCAGAAGTTTCCTTATCCTCACAGTGACTCTTGGATGCCATTTTACAGAGCAAGTGTTGCCGCATTAATAAGTACCCTTATTACTGTGTCTTGCTCCCTTATCTTCTATAAATGTCACAGGTAGTGAATTGGTGAACAATAAGATACCTGGTAAATTCAGTAGACAAATAAGGATTGTACTGATGAAGTTCTGTTTATGAAATCAGTTATTTATTTTTTACCATAAGCATCCAAATAGGAATGATGTTTGAGCAACTGTAAAGTATTGCTTGGACTGTGTGACTTGGGATATGTTGCTTTGTATTGGATTTATTAAGCATTTGGTGCTTTTAGATTAAGTTGTACAAATTTAAATTTTTTGGACTTCTTCAATTGTTGATATTCTTCCTCAGAAGTCCAAAAAATTGAAATCGGTAATTCAACACCATTGTCAATAACATTTAGAGATAAATTAAGTTATAACAATTCGCATATAGTTTAACCATCATTTATATCCTTAAGACTGAGTAAAAATATTCACAATATCAAGGTCCCAAAACTATTGGATTAGTTTGTGGTGGGGGGATGGGTAATAGACTCAGCTACTACTGACAATCATTGCTAGTCCTCCCTGGAGCACAACTTTGGTGTAATGCCATTTCCAACCAATAGCATGTAGGATGTTCGTATCAATCTATGATTTAGTTGTTGGTAATGTGTTGCAATTGCATGAGGAAATTAAGAGCAGATTGAACTCTGGTCATGCTTGCTACCATTCAATTCAGAACCTTTTGTCTTGTCTGCTGTCTACAAACATCAAAATTGAAATGCACAAAGCTATAATTTTGCTTGTAGTTTTATATGTTTGTGAAATGGTGTAGGGGACAGTTGCTGTGTGGTCTGAGGCGTGGGCCTTGTGTTGCTTGGTCACTATAGTTCAAAGCCAACGAAAAAGTTGTATAATGAGAGCCTAATAAGTTGTACTAGCCACACCACTCCATAATAGTGTGAGAAAGCCATGCAATGAGTACATGCAATTCAGTATTCTTATTAGGATGCTGCATATTGCTCAGTCTGCACATACATTTTCATTCATTGCTGAGGAGCATAGCCATCAACAGCATAGCAGAGCTAAGTTTCATCTGTGGTAATTTCTGTCAAATGATGGCCCTCTTTCCTGTGTGAGATCTGAAGTTTTCACAACGGTGAGGATGACGTTTTTCTGGTTTTTGGCGCCGTGCAGTAGTAGCCAACGTTTCGAGAAACATACTTTCTCTATCTTCAGGGCTGAAGACAAATGTACACGGTACCAAAACCCAGGAGAACATCATCCGTCTTTTTCAGTGGCTAGAACTTAGATTACTGGTAATTTCTTTTTAACGTTACTGAATTACATGCAAACTAACGGCGATCATACGTCACACGTTATATTTCGGGAGACAAATGACATACGATTTTATGATCATGAGTGAATTCCATTCCTTTTGCTGGTTCCTTGTGGTTGATATAATCACTCTCACTGACATGCTTCTTATGCTTATGTTGCTGTGGGAGATCGCACCCTGTTCCACATGGTCCTAGAAGAAAGATGGCGTCAAGAGTTCCTGTTGTTGCAGGTAATTGCAGTAATTTGAGGCATTTATAGCTTATATATTATGTTTTTAAAAGTTTGCTCCTTCATATGAAACGATAGTCTTACATATGGTAATTGGTGGCAGTTATAATTGTCATATCTTTAGTTAACACAAGAAAGATAAATTTTTTTATAGCCCAGTGTGTGCACCATACGTGACACAAGTAACCTAACAGTAGGCTAATGAAGTAGTAGTAACATTAATAATACGAAGTTAAATTGTGGTTCACATTATTTTAGTGCGAGGCTCCACAGGGATTTCCATTAATCTTGGACCCCCCAGCTATGATCTGGTCTCTGCGTTTGCACGGGATGACAGCAAGTCATGCAAAGCAATGCTTTTTGACCCAGAAGGGAAGTATTTTGCCTGGGTCAATGCGACATCGTAAGTTTATTGTTTACTCTGTTACAGATGGGTTCAGCATTGATTAATTAATTTGTAGCTTTAGTATGGAGATATTTTAAATTTCTAATTTCAGTGTTAAGGTTGTTACAACTTCAACATGGAAGGTATTAGCAGAAATTCAACGACCAAAGGTCTCCAATTTAGAATTTTCTCCAAAAGGGACATATTTAATGACATGGGAACCTTTCATAGGTGAGTAGAATGTCAGTTCTTCACCATTCAGATAACTACAAGTACAGTGAAGTACAGTGCCATAGCATTCAAAAATACATTTAACCATTGGCTTCTAGATGTAGCACTGTGTTGTTAGTATTAAACATGGTACTCTTGGCACTTTGTGCAAATTCAGTTGGTGCCACTGAAATCTGTAACCTATATTGAAGAAGCTAGGTGCAGACAAAATTTAGATTAAACTGGATCTGAAGTTTGTAGATCTGTATTGTGATGTTTGCAAAATTTGTTAGGTTTGTTTTCATACATTTGTACAGATGTCAGGTAGCTAATTAAGTATTGTGTTTCATGAAAAGTATCTAAAGTAGGAATAATGGTTGTGAAACTGTTGTATATCTTTTACATTACTGAATAGCTAGCATAATGAGTGCAGGCTAGCTACAAAGAGCTTGTATTAAGGCACAGGATGGACATTGAGTAGCACTGGAGTAGGAGGTTGAATGTTTATTTAATTGGAATAATGATCTTGCAGGGAGGTTGACTTCTTCCAGAGCTAGGCCAAGCTTTCAGGAAGTGTTGTTATTGTGGTTTATTATTTATATTTTATACATAATATGATATTATTTTATTGTATACAGGGACACACAAAATCCAGTTGATACCAAAAGAATCACCTCAAATGATATTCATGTATTACATTATCAATTTTAAATGCTTTAAATGACATTTAACGTTTTTATAATACATGTAAAGTTGTAAAGCTCATTTATAGAGGATGAGCTAATATAGCTCACTCAGTAAAGTGACTGTCTACAGGCCGGATGATTGAGGTTAGATTTTCTGGAAGTTCACGGACTTTCCTCTATGTCTCTTTGTCCAGACTGCATACAAAATTTTACTTAGAACATCTGAAGGGATGATACTACATGGGAGACATAGATGTAAACAGTATTAAAATGGATCCTAAAGAAATAAGGTGAGAGATTATGGACAGGGTTGAGCTTTCTGGTATAGTAGTAGACTGTAGTGAACATGGTAATGAACCTTCAGGTTCTATAGAAGATTTTCTTGACCAACAGAATTATGTTACTTTTGTTAAAATTTGTGTACTTAATCCTAATTTGAGTTATAATTCAGTTTCCTCTCTGCTTAGTAACACAATCTAACCCTCAAGGAGGACCAAATCTTCACATATTCAAGTCCGACAGTGGTGAGCTGGTCAAAGACTTTGTTCATAAAAAGCAGATTGGATGGTGAGTGAACTTGATGTTTAATGTAAATTACACTTTTTGTAATGTGCATCATCAGATATTTTACCTTGTTCAGGATAGATCTAGTGGCAGTGAATCTGTTTGGCAGTAAATCTATCTTTTTCCTTTGTCTGTTTGTTTATTAAATAGTCCCAGAGAAGGAAGGGAGTAGGTAAAGTATTTTCAAGGTACAAACATTACCAGAAACATATGTGCTGAATTTTCCTTTTTTCTCTATCCAAATATTCAGCCTTACACATTGAAATAATGTTACATTATTTTCTGCAAGTCTCTAATAATTTGTTTTCTGAAAAATAAATTTGCTGAAATTTAAGCTTGTAATAATATATATGATACACACTTTACTAATTTCAAGTTTTTAGTATGTACTAAAACCTCAGGAAAAATAGAAGCATACTGTGTAGTAGCACCTGATGCTGCTAGCTTTGTTTACTTATTACTGTTCACATTTTCTATTTTCATCTCGTTAACTTAAATTTTTATTCAGATTTGACACATAGACTGCAACTGTATAGGCCTGAATGTATTTTTAGGTTTTTGTTTATGTCATTGAACATTTTAAATGTTTCAGCTTTTAGTTAGTTGAATATTTTATGTTCTGTAGTCAGTGTTTGTCAGAGTGAAGGTAAAGCTATATTCACGGGTATGTGTATTTGTATGCAGTCTGGGATATCTTGTAATGAATTTTAAATAGGCATATGTCCCCATTCTTAGGAATTTTTAATTTTAAAAGTATGGCCCTCACTAAATGGTAAAATTTTCCTGCATTTTTTATTACTTCTGTATTTTCTCCTTTAATGCTTCCATTTGTCACTATTTTATGTCCTAAATGTTTAGAATTCTTTACTTCATGATTATTATATTTTGGCTTTTCCATGCTTCTGTGTTTGAACTTAGTTTCATAACTACATAGCATTTTATCAAAAATCTTTTTTGCACTTTAACAACCTTTGGAATTTCTTCTCTAAGCTGATGTTCTTTGATTCCCACATAACTATGACATCTCTGTGTACCATAATTTTTGGTATTCCACTTTTTTATCCTTCTGTAACTTTCCTCATTATCCCATCCGTTATAATGCAGAACAACAAAGGAAATAAAACATATCTGTGTCCAACCCCTTTATATGTATCATGTATTGGACTTTTTGCTACTACCATCCCTCTTGTCCAATGGTTCTTAAATGTTCCTTATTCTCTCTGTTAGTAATCTGGATAAATTTTCCTTCTGTAATGCTTTTAAATTTCCAGGCTTCCTAAACTTGACCCATATCCATATCATATTAAGGGGACAACATTCAAGTAGGGGACAGGTTGTCAGAGTTATACACAGTGGGCATCTATTTGTTGGCATCTTCAATGCAGCTGAAAAGGTCTGGTAAGAACCATGAACGTGAATGGTTAACAAGGCTACTGTAGAGCTGTTGATTGTGAATTTTGAAAGTGTTTTCAAAAACCAACCTAGCTTCTGGACTTTATGATCCACAGTGGAGGACCTAGCAGCTGCAATTCAGAAGTAATCACTAAAAAGTTATAAGTAAGTTGTTATTTCTGCCAACATATTTTTAAAATTTGTGAATGAAAGAGTTTTACATTGCACCAAATTTGATGGTTAGTTTGTTGCTTGATAATGTTAAGTTATATACAAATAATCACATGACTAGATTATTTTCAGAGGGAGGGAAAAGGGAAGTGAATTTTTAGCACATGGGTGGGAATGTCTTGTATGCAACCCTTAATAACTGACACTTTACTCATTCAGTATAATAATAAACTTTTGTGTATTCCACAGGGAGCCACAGTGGAGTTCAGATGAGAAGCTTTGTGCACGAAATGTGAATAATGAAATATTGTTTTATAATGTACCAAATTTTGATGCTGTGGCACACAAGATTCACATCCAGAAAGTTGCAGACTTCAGTATCTCCCCAGGAACATCTCCTTACCATGTCCTGTGTTATGTGCCAGGTAAAAAGTCATTGTAGTAGGAAGTAAGTAGAATCTTCCAGTTTTTATTTATCCATTGTAATCTGTGTGACTTTGTCAGTGTTTTCTTACTCAGTAAATGCAGTTTAATATAACACACTAGCCCTGAAGTTATGGTCTGTTATGATGCAGGAACTTCAAAGATTTTGAGTTCCTAATGAATATGAACATAGAGCATTTTATTTTATTTTCGTATCCAGTACATACCATTCAGCATGGTGTGCATTGGTGGTTAGCAGGATTCACGGCCCATCAGCACATGGGTTCGATTGGGACCGCGACATTTAATGCTCCTGCTGTGACCCCCTTTTTGTGAGATAATGATAAAAGTGGAGTAATTGTTGGGATGCCACGGAGAAACCAGGGAAACCCCGGAGGAAAACTTCGTGATGCCTGGACCACGGCCTTGCCCAACACAAGTTGTAAATCTGAGCACCGCCGGAAATCGAACTCGGGACCCCAGTATTACAAGCCCAGCATTCTAACCACTAGACCACCATGGCGGTTGTTTTATTATATGATGAAGTTATATAAGACTCAAGTGTCATAATTCTTTTGCCCCTAGTCTCAGTTATGTCATTGCTTGATTTCTTGCCTTCCTAGTATAGCTAATGGTTCACATAATTTTTGTAACTGTAAATATTGTTGGGGGAAATGTGCATAGATGTTTTATAAAGTGGGTACAAATGTTGTGATTTCAGAACTGAAATTGATATACAGTGAAACCTCGATGCATCGTTTTCGGCGGGGGTGGGAAATAAAAACGATGAATGCGGGAAAACGATAGATGCGGGAAAGCATTAAAAATTTAAAAAAAAACAATGTTTCTCTTTCAAAGTTACTTCTTTTTACCAAAAAAGTCTTTAATGGACAACTGGTTTGT